GGCTGAGGCCAAGAGGGTCTTCCAGCAGGAGTACCAGAAGCTGGCCAGGGAGGCTGAACTGGCCCCCGACACCCACCAGTACACTGCGCAGCCCCAGTACTACCAGCAGCAGCCCCAGTACTACCAGCAGCAGCCCCGTCCCGCCTACACCCTCGGCCAGGCCCCACAGCCCGTCCAGGATACCTACGAGGTGGCTGAGGCCAAAAGGGCATTCCAGCAGGAGTACCAGAAGCTGGCCAGGGAGGCTGAACTGGCCCCCGACACCCACCAGTACACTGCGCAGCCCCAGTACTACCAGCAGCAGCCCCAGTACTACCAGCAGCAGCCCCGTCCCGCCTACACCCTCGGCCAGGCTCCACAGCCCGTCCAGGACACCTACGAGGTGGCTGAGGCCAAGAGGGCCTTCCAGCAGGAGTACCAGAAGCTGGCCAGGGAGGCTGAACTGGCCCCCGACACCCACCAGTACACTGCGCAGCCCCAGTACCACCAGCAGCAGCCCCAGTACTACCAGCAGCAGCCCCGTCCCGCCTACACCCTCGGCCAGGCCCCACAGCCCGTCCAGGACACCTACGAGGTGGCTGAGGCCAAGAGGGCCTTCCAGCAGGAGTACCAGAAGCTGGCCAGGGAGGCTGAACTGGCCCCCGACACCCACCAGTACACTGCGCAGCCCCAGTACTACCAGCAGCAGCCCCAGTACTACCAGCAGCAGCCCCGTCCCGCCTACACCCTCGGCCAGGCCCCACAGCCCGTCCAGGACACCTACGAGGTGGCTGAGGCCAAGAGAGCCTTTCAGATGGAGTTCGACCGGCGCGCTGCCCTGGTCCAGTCTTCCTCCTACAACTGAATGCCTGCTGTTTTAGTTCAAATGGGAGACGGATGTCATGACAAAGACAACCTGTTTTGCCTGCCGAGGAAATAAATACAGGTCTTGAAGCACTGCTGTTGTTTGAATCAGGATCGGTTGTTGGCCCTATAACCATGACACATAAGAAATGATATACCCACAAAGGCCGGCAGCCGCTCGTAGTTAGTTTCATTTTAGGCTGGCGGAATAAGTGCATGTGCTTTTAGCTCTGATCACTGCAGACCAGCCCACATAACTCAGCTTGGATAAAGGTATCGCCAAAAGTATTACTTACGAATGGACCAAGGAAGAAACACCAGTTGCCGTTTTGCTTTATTTAGTTTAGTTCACGAGCCACGGTTGAATGTGTCGGATACCTACTAAATATCACCGTAAGGCAAATCGCAAAGAAAGACTTTTGAGTTTTGACTGCCTCTAGCGAATCTTGTGAAGTGATTTTCTTTTCTTTTTTACTACAGCAGAAAAGCCAAAAATACCTCCCGTAGACATAATGATCATGTTTCTTAGCGTTCTGAATTTCCTGCGAGTTGAAAAGTATCTACTATCCCGCTCCGCCCAATGTTAACTAATGTTACTTGACATGTGCTTTTCACTACTGAACACCAGCCTTCTGTAAATAAGTGCAGTGAGGCTAGTTTCCAATTATCCGATTCTCCAGGTTCCGGTAAAAGGTTTGTCCTCTACCACCCTCTACCTATGACAACACTTTCCGGTCCCTAATCATTTCTACCTCCAAGTGATAACGGTTCTGGCTGCACCCCTGCATTGCATGGTCCTTGTCCGCGGGACATGAGGTCGCGAACGGACCTCAGGCCACGGATCACCGAGCTACGGCTAGTTTTACACAGATTGTCCACCCGAATGGCCGCGTCGAAAAATGAAGGTCTGAAATTTCTATTTTGGGGAGCTGAACCAGACAATCGGCATGCCCCAGGTCGAAATGACATGGCACGCCATTGCTGATCAGTTGGGACATCTGCCTGCACAGTTCGGCGTTGGTGGGACAAGCATACGGCTGCTGGCAGCGCTGCCGATCGTCCCAGTTTGGGCGTTCGTTCACCATTTCGACCGTGAAAGAAATCGCATTGGAAAGACGGCTGGGAAGAGTGACCAGTTGGCTACAAAACTGGCTAAGCGGCTCACGCGCAAGGGCTATTCCATCTTCAGATAGGACTGTGAAACGCTATTGGAAGAGCTCTCTGAGGCTCATTACCTACAAGAGCCTCCAGCGGCTCACTTCCAAGTCAACGCATGGTCGATAGAAGGTCGACATGCATTTTCATTCAGGACGGTGCGCCGGCTCATTGCTCCGCCAAGGCCCAGCGGTGGTGCGAATAAAACATGCCGGACTTCTGAAGGAATGCTACACAAGCTGGCTGCCAGCATGTCAAATTGTGTTCGTGCGTACCTCCCTGTTTGTGGGAAATATACTGGACGCCAAAAGGAATCGCTGCCTCTTATAAACCCACTAAGCGAGCACATCTCTTCAGAGGACAAAAATTATGCCGGACCCTGTACATTATAGCTAATGACCCCTCAGGACCTATACCTAGGGAAAAGTGGGGGCAAGGCGACCACCCTATAGTATAACCTTCTTACGATGCCGGCGCTGGATTGTTAACGTTGGAAAGATTCTTTTCATACCAAAGCTAGTAATCATTATCAAATTGCCTGCTATTTCAACTGTGTTTCATTTCCTAAGGCGTTCACATATGGGAGATATTGGCAAAACTTTAAACCTATGCATTTTTTGCCCCATACCCCGGGGCAAAGCGGCTGCCGGCGGCTTCTTAAGTCTCGATATGAGAAACAGAATAGTTGCCTCATGTAGATACCTTCGACTAGGGTAACCGAAGGTTTGTTGTCAATAGTTAAAACACTATTCTTTAGAATTGTATTTTTCTATTGAAAAATACAATTCTAAAAATTGTATTTTACAATTAATTATAAAAAAATTGTATTTTACAATTGTATTAAAAATACAATTCAAATATGTTTTTCTATTGAAAAACATATTTGAGGAATTTGAGACAAGGTTTAAACGATGATGACTGCTTAATTTGTGATCTTCCCACCCGTAGGTAAACAAAGAAAGGACATTCATGGAAAAATATTTCATTGCATTATTTGGCAACTTGTGTAGCTAAAAACTGGCCGAGATGAATGTATGACGATACATTTTAATCGCAATAACCTTTGTTGACCAGATTTAAACAGAGGCCTCTTGCACCAAAATCCTCTTGCACCAATGCTTGGATTATTTTGCATCGTATACCCAGTCCAAGTCTCAAATGTAACAATTTGAGTGCAAAATTTAGCAAGCACATGTAGGATTATGTATTGGGCTATTGCAAACAAATTTACCATCGCTAGATTAGCTTATTCTGAAACGCTAGGTAGTTTGGTGCAAGAGGCCTCAGCTCATGGCCAATTTGGTGCTAGCCACTTTGGTCCCCTTTGCCCCGAGCACACCGTCCGCGACAAAAATATTTCAGCTCAGCTATAAGTGGGGCAAAAAGCATGAGAATTGGTAATAGGCATCTACGATAGCCACACAATGCATGAAAGAGAGCGCTTGATCAAAATTCCAAACGGTTATGGAATAAAATAACACTTAAAAATCGTTAAAATAGTAATCTGGCAAGAAAGTTTTTCCGTGTATCACAGAACAATGGCGGTGGGCCGGAAATCACGGTCTGGCTCATTCGAACAACCGCAAAGAGAAGTATAATTGGCAACCATAAATTGGAGCTGACGCCAGTTGTGAAGGGCAGACGATGGGTGGCCGTTTCGCCCCGGGTGGCCGCTCTGCCCCACTCTCCCATACTTACTAGGGAAATTTGGGCAGGATCATAGCCCACGCATCCTCAGAACATGATTTACTTGCTGCCTAAGCGGCCGGTTGGCGGTTCTTAGAAGCCTCCCGTATGTGCAACGCGACCTGCGCGACTCGAGCTGTACAGTCTGTCTTAAAAGTACCGCGCAAAGTGGCGGTGGATCCATCAAGCCTGACCGAGCAAGGGCCTGTTTTAATTTAAAAGTCACCGACTTATTGATCTAGGGAATGGATAAGGATGTCAGTTGCTTCAGTGACCCAAATTTAGCAGGCCCTTGCTCAGTCAGGCTCGATGGATCCACCGTCACTTTGCGCGGTACTTTTAAGACAGACTGTACTTACTCGGGTACGGTATTGCGGCACAGCCTAACTCCCGGGCGCTAACTCGTGCTGCCATCTATCGGGAGTTTCAGTAACTACCGACGCGTCATGAACGGCGAACGCGCCGGGGACTGGTGCACGGGGTAGTCTCAGGCCTTTGTAGCCTGTTTGAACTGCTGCCGGCGGGAAAACAGGAATATTCAATGGGGACGTGCCGGTCTAGTTGATTCAAAACGTGCCATACTCATGAATTGGAACGCTCACAGGCTCTACGCACGCTCACAGGCTAACGTGTGGGGTCGTTTCCGCATCCCGAGAGCCGCTAGACTGATTGCGCTAAACTTTGGTACACCATCAAGGAACGGCTAGTAGCGTGGCCCGCGCAAGGCCGTTGGGGTCCAGCTTGCACGTGGGCACGTGGAGAAGGCCACTTTCAGACCTCAAGAACTGCTGGAACGATTGAGCCCAAAGTTGGTAAACCTTCTACATCTCAAGGAAGGCCGGGCCAACTACGTCAAAGTTGATACGCCTTTCATGGATGGCTAGACGGGTGACCCGTTCAAGTCAACAAGAGGTCATGCATCGTACTTTCGTGCGTGTAGGTAGGGATCACTGTCTCGGTCGCTCTTGTCGCCCCCAAAGTCGTCTTGCTGGTAGGAAGGTATGTATGTCGTCATCTGCAGGGTGCACGCTGCACAGCTAGGCGTGACCTTTTAACTGAACTGAATGAATCAACGTTTATTGCACATAATTGATTTGCCCACTTAAAGTGCATGACCATTGAACAATGCCATTCGCCTATCAATTGATAAATGTCTCAACAACCGGTACTTTTGGAGCAGCCAATTTTATATTGAAAATGGTTTGCAGAGCTCTGCAGGAAAAGACACATACCAATCGGGCGTGTCCTCTGCCCGGGTATAAAGGTGCACCGAGTCATCAGATGGACACCACTTGTTCACTCCACGGCGGAACTGCTTCAGTCTGCACTCCTACACTACATCATGATGCGGACTGTGGTAAGTTGTCAAGTAGCCACTAAACGATCTTACATGTCCATTATTTCCATGCCGTATCTTAGCTTTAGAATGCATCTGCTGTTCAACAGCTGAGAACATAAATATTCATTTATTTTCATTCATCTCCCGATGTCTAACTACCTCCGCGGCACCGGTATCGCTGACGCCACCCGTCGCTCGGCAGCTCCTGCTGACGGCGGCTGTTCTGGGAGCCGCCGCCGACCATCCGCCGCCCGCCGTGTCGTCCTACCAGGCCGGGGCGGCCGTCAGTGCGGCACCACAGCCCGTCCAGGACACCTACGAGGTGGCTGAGGCCAAGAGGGCCTTCCAGCAGGAGTACCAGAAGCTGGCCAGGGAGGCCGAACTGGCCCCCGACACCCACCAGTACACTGCGCAGCCCCAGTACTACCAGCAGCAGCCCCGTCCCGCCTACACCCTCGGCCAGGCTCCACAGCCCGTCCAGGACACCTACGAGGTGGCTGAGGCCAAGAGGGCCTTCCAGCAGGAGTACCAGAAGCTGGCCAGGGAGTCTGAACTGGCCCCCGACACCCACCAGTACACTGCGCAGCCCCAGTACCACCAGCAGCAGCCCCAGTACTACCAGCAGCAGCCCCGTCCCGCCTACACCCCCGGCCAGGCCCCACAGCCCGTCCAGGACACCTACGAGGTGGCTGAGGCCAAGAGGGCCTTCCAGCAGGAGTACCAGAAGCTGGCCAGGGAGGCTGAACTGGCCCCCGACACCCACCAGTACACTGCGCAGCCCCAGTACTACCAGCAGCAGCCCCAGTACTACCAGCAGCAGCCCCGTCCCGCCTACACCCTCGGCCAGGCTCCACAGCCCGTCCAGGATACCTACGAGGTGGCTGAGGCCAAGAGGGCCTTCCAGCAGGAGTACCAGAAGCTGGCCAGGGAGGCTGAACTGGCCCCCGACACCCACCAGTACACTGCGCAGCCCCAGTACTACCAGCAGCAGCCCCGTCACGCCTACACCCTCGGCCAGGCCCCACAGCCCGTCCAGGACACCTACGAGGTCGCTGAGGCCAAGAGGGCCTTCCAGCAGGAGTACCAGAAGCTGGCCAGGGAGGCTGAACTGGCCCCCGACACCCACCAGTACACTGCGCAGCCCCAGTACTACCAGCAGCAGCCCCGTCCCGCCTACACCCTCGGCCAGGCCCCACAGCCCGTCCAGGACACCTACGAGGTGGCTCAGGCCAAGAGGGCCTTTCAGATGGAGTTCGACCGGCGTGCTACCCTGGCCCAGTCTTCCTCGTACAACTGAATGCCTCCAGGGAGGATGGGTCGGTACTGCGACTCATGAACTATCCGTATGCTATGAAGCGCAAATAAACGCAGTTATTGAAGCTCTGCATTTTGTTTTTGCACTGCGGTTTACTTCCAAAAATAATATGTTTTATGTATGCAATGTGTCGTTGAGAGGCAATGGCATATAAATTTGTCAACAAAATGATGTTATTTCTTCGAGATCCTGACAAGGTGCCGATAAGGATATGCACTATGCAGTATGCATGCTACACATTACGCAATGAATGTTACGTAGTTCGATAAGAACACCTGACTAGGTCACTTTTCTGTGCCCATTTTCGAAGCAAATTAACAGTCCACTGCACTGGCCGGCAGCGAAAAGTGCGGAATATATATTCCCGACCGGGGCTGGGAAAATGCGTTTTATTCACCGAGGTTTTTGTGCGGAGGACCGAGTGCCGGTAGGCACGAGGTCCGTAGCAAAAACCGAGGTGAATAAAACTGCATTTTCACAGCCCAAGGTTGGGAAGAGATTTACCACATGCCGTACCTGGCCGTACCGGCGCAACAGTTAAAGGGACCCTCCCACCTTAACATTAGTTTTGAGTTGAGATAGCCAAATTGGTGGCCATGGCCTGAAAATACCGGTTTGGGCATTCACAACATCGAAAAATGCTTTAATTCGGAGATATGGAATTTAAAACTTGCAGTTTTCGGATTCTAAGGGGCTAATGCATTGGTATGCCCCCTTAGAATTTGTGACGTCAGCGGAGATCTAACGATTTTTAAATCTTTTACTAAAACGTTTGGCAGCACGCGGTGGTATATACTGCTTTGCGCGCAACAAATGCCGCACTTTCAAATAAAGTCGCTAGGAACAGCGGAGATCCCAAAAAGTAAACAAAAGTAAAAGTCTAATATCTTGAAAACCGGTGAATATTTTTCGATGAAATTTGGTAGATATTCATTTTTGCTCTTTCTGAACCGAGCGACATCACTTTCATGCCAATTCATTAACTTTTTTGAAGGTGGGAGGGTCCCTTTAATATCATATTCATTTGATTACGAGCGAGCGAGCGCAGCGAGCGAAGTGAGTCTTTTCAATATAACGGAAAAATCTCAGTATGAGCGGCCCGGCCCGGCCCGGCCCGGCCCGGCCTGTAACGCTTTTGAGAGGCTTATATCTCAGCAACCGCTGGACCGATTGGCCTGCGGTCTTTTTTGTTGGGTAGCCCCATCCCTTCTACCCCGTAATTGACTACTTTTGATACATCTCAGTGACCGTCGTGGCACGTGCCACGTGAAAAGTCAGGGGTGTTCAAGCTGTTTTGCAAAAGTAGTGATTTTGAGAGGCTCATATCTCAGCAGCCACTTGGGCGATTGACTTGCGGTAATTTTTGTAGGGTAGCAGCATCCCTTCTACCCAAAACAGGATACTCTCGATGTATGTGGGTCACCCCCAGTGCACGTGCAAAATACAACAATAAGAGGTGCCAAATTTGTTCCCATTTCAGTAACTCGGTAATTACTGGGGCGATTTCGCTGAAACTTGGCATACAGGTAGGCACCCACCAGGCAATGCATTCCCATATGTTGCGGTTAGGGTGCTACTGCACGTGCGCACGTGCAGGGGGCGTTTCCAGATCTCGAGAACGGCTGGGCCGATTGCGCTCAAATTTGGTACACGGTTGGGGACCAGTTAGTAGGGTGCCGTGCAAAAGTCATTTTGGACCCCGTTTGCACGTGCGCACGTGCAGAATGCCGCTTCCAGATCTCAGGAACGGCTGGGCCGATTGCGTTCAAATTTGGCACACCGCTAGCGACCGGTTAGAAGGGTGCTTTGCACAAGCCCGTTGGAAGCACCCTCTCGCCCTTTCGCACGTGCAGGGCTCACTATCTCGCTCGCTCGTTCTTCGCCCAAAAGGCGTTTTACTGGTATTTTACACTTTAATCTTAATATTGTGTTAATATTATATTAATACTATGTTCATATTTATAGTCACCGTGATTATTTGTTTGTGTTTTTCATTATTAGGCTGCGTTGAGTATGAAAGATGAAATTCCTACTTCCCCCTTATCTAAGGTTTGAAAAAGCTGAGGATGAAGATGGTGCAACGCCAAAAGTTAGAATAAAGATATGGAGTCCAGCAGGAGTGAGAAAACCGTGAGGAAAACTAAAAATTGGGTGAAACGCTGAATCAAACGCGTCTTGGATATCAGCTGGAACAATATCAAATGTTTCATTGTGGCACGTTAAGATGCTTCACGCATTTAAATTGTTCGTTTTTTGCGTGCATTATGTAGAAATAATGATTATTCCGACCATGTTCTGTAGCAATAAATACATTGGCATTGGAACGATAACCTTGTTTAGTTGAATTACGTTGACAGCAAAAGTATGTAAACACGCAGTCACTTACTTTTGCTGTTGCTGTTAGTGAACACACAATCCGTAAATATCTTCTTTGAAATTGGTTCTTCCGCTCAGAATATTCAGTAAAACTTTGTCTGGGAAAATCAAAAAGCCCTAGGGCCGAATCGTTTCCCAAATACCTTCAACATTAGCCGAGGCGGGCCGAAGCCATTTCCCAAATGCACGTGCTAATGTTAAAGGGATATCTCGGCATGTGGTAAAACACCCACAGAGTGTGAAAGTTACCCGGCAGAGCGCGTACCAGCGTCACGGCGGCCAGGTGGCTCATGGAAGTTTCCTACATGTAACTTCATTCTTCAACACGGCTTGTCACTATATTCGATAACAATTGACAACATAATTTTCCCGTCCAAGTCCCATTTATAGTCCACTTGGGACCACATAAACATTTGTGCTGCACAACTCTGTAACACAACAAGGGATCATGTTTGGAGACTTATAGGGGAGAGTGGGGTAAGATGCCCAGGGTGGGAAAGACGCCCCACCCCCTCTAGCGGCGAAACAAATGATCGAACCTGGAAATTAATGTTCATAGCGTAAAGCGGAAGCCTGCCTTGTTAACTGCACAAAAATTTGCGAAGCTCAGTTGGGCAACGGCTGGCTGGTGATTGCATGTTTTTTATTTGCTGATTAGAAAAAATATTTTGGTGTCAAAACATTGTAAATATCAAAGAAGGTAGATAATTTTTGCGTCCCTTACTATGGTCGTGATACATCAACATGCGTGTACTGTATCCCAAACAGTTTGTTTCAGGGTGTAGTTTTATGGCTAACAAATTGTACTGATTTAATGTTACTTCGGTACCTTGGGGTAAGATGCCCCCTGTCCTGTTGGGGAAAGACGCCCCCCTCAATCCGTAGGCTGTCCTTCAAGCAGCCCGTCAAATCATTTATTACATACTTGTGATGAGATACAAAAGCCGATCTGGGACTATTGAGAGTCCAGTACGGTCGGGTGCTCCCCATGCCGGTCTCTCGGCCCAAACAGCGACCTTTTGGGCGGCATCTAACTCTGAGAGCCCTCACGACGGCCTCTGTGGGCCCCATTATTGGCTCCAGGGCCCCTCAAGACATCCTTTGAGGGCTCCCACGTTGGCTCCACGGGCCGCGCTGGCATCTGAGGTCCCCACGATGGGCTCGAGGGCCCTTAAGCATCATGAAGACCTATAAAGGGCCCACAGGGGTCTCCGAACGCCACCACGGAGGCTTGTTTGGCCGCGCTGGACTATGATGACCCTAACGATGACCTCTGAAGCCCCTTACGACTACTTTTGAGGGCCCTTACGATGACGTTTGGTGTCTACTACAGGCTCGAAGGGACTACTGATTCGTTCAGGCGATTCACGTGCCCATTTATGTCACTTATAGTGCAGGGGGCATCTTCCCCAACGCCAGGGGGCGTCTTTCCCACCCTGTGGGGTAAGATGCCCCCTTTCACTTCTTCAGGAAAATGCTTGATAGCCAAAAAAGTTATCATATTTCAGGCACGAAAGTGTGATATTTTTGGAGAAAAATGATGTCGGCTTCCGTTGAAACTCCAAGTTTTTGCTTTCCGATCGTCATTTTCGAATAATATATGACGTAACAAAACCCTGGGCATCTTTCCCCACTCTCCCCTATGTGCAGAAAAATACATGATGGGATATGCCAAAAACGGAGGGTTTTTTGCTTCTACCGTTTTAGGTAATGAAAAACTGGAACAGGGGGCCGGGAAAAAGAAGTAGGGTTAAACCGGCCCACGCCAAGAAAAATATTGTTGAAAACCTATTTTGAATTGGTACATGATATCGGACCAGATTAAATACCACAAGAAATATAGTTTTGGTAATAATGGAAATGATACGCATCTTCAAGCAATTCATTTCAACATTTCAAAATTAAAATATGTCGGTCAATCTCATTATGCGAGTGGACCGGTCGCTGTTCCGGCTGAGTTTGTTTTTGCGCACCGTGCCCTGTCCACTATCCAGTGCGCGCCCGGCTGACCGCTGGCCGACCCTGCCGCCAGCGGTCACGTGACCTGACCTGTCTGACGTTACGTCAGCGTTACGTCACGGTGTCCACCGTTGCTCTCCGCGTCACCTGCCGGCCCGGCCCCTGACGCGGGTCTGCAGACCACCTAACCACCCCACGCACGGGATGGCGCAACACCGCCAGCGCCGGCGGCCGGTCTCCTGACTGTCCCAGTCCCCAGAGGATGAGATAAGCTGATGCAACCGCTCATAGCGCCAACGTGGCCTTTACGATCAACAATGTTACAAGCGGTATCGCTATTTTATACTTACGTGACCAAATGTACGCCAATAAGAACGGTACGGATAGGTTAAATATGCAGTTACATCTCTTTGCGGTTGCAGTGCGTGCGATGCATCGCCTGATTCGGGAGACCGGTCTCTATGTGGCCGGAATCCTGCAGCTCTAGCGACCGGTGTAACGCATGTGATACATACCGGGTGTTCACTAAAAAATGGGACAAATTTGTTTCGTGTGTATTTCGTGAAAAAATCACGCCAGTGAAACAAGTTCAGCACCACTACATTATCCTTCTTCTCCTCTTTCGAACTCTACAGCTCTCGAAGGCCTGTGTTCCCCTTGTCTGCCACAAAGCGGATCTTTGTCCGCGTGCGCCTCCATAGCTTTTGGCACGTGTCCGCCGTAATAGCAGCCATTTGACGGCGGATTCGCTTGGTCAGCTGCTTCTTGGTCTCTGCTTCATAACCACCAGCGTACACACGTGACTTCAGGAGAGCCCAAAGTCGTTCGATGGGGCGGATTTGTGGTGCCGCTGGTGGGTTATCCTCCTTAGCCACAACAGGTATTTTCAGCTCTTCGAGGGTGGCAAGGACGTCCTTCTGGTAGTGCGCCGGAGCGAGATCTGGCCAGAAAATAACCTTTTTACCACGGTAGTTGGCATCTACAAACTCCTTGAGCCTCGGTAGGCATTGGGTGCGGTAGACGTAGGCGTTCATTGCGCCACTCTCCATGATGAAGGGCTTGCTCAGCCCGTGTTCAGAAAAGGCCACCCAAACCATGACTTTTGGCGTGAACTTCTCCACTGTGGCGAACCGCACACCATCCCCGGCTCCAGATGCATCATCTGTATAAAATCCAACATTCCCCGGCTGACTGTGACCTTTCATAGGGAAATATGACTCATCGTCCATGATAATTTGAGTTTTGTTGGTGGGCTTCATAGCGCTCCTTCGAAGCTTGCCACACCTGGTCTTCTGCTTTATTTTTTGGTCCTCTGTGGCCGCCGGAACACGCTTTCGGCGTCTGTAGCGCAACTTCGTCTTAGTGCTAAGTATTTTGCTGATGTAGCTGAGGCTTACACCAAACTTCCGTGCAGCCTTTCGCTGTGAGGCGCCGATGTGTTCCTTCATGTACCTTTGTAGGGTTAAGATCTCTTTTGGGGTCATTTTTTTCGCCTTCCGACCACTTCCCGGCTTCCTGCTAAGGGAGTCCCCTGTATCAAGCTTTTCCATGACGCGATACAGTGTTGTTTTCGAAATTCCCATCTTTTGGAAGTGTTTGTGAGTAAATGACTTCCCTTTGGACCAGTGCTCTTTATAAAAGGTGCCAATGAGCTCCCTTCGCTGTCTGCCTGTTAACCCGTCCATTTTGTCTGGGGGCTGATCAAAAATGAATTCAAGCGCGGTCATGTGTTAAAAATGTTGTATTTTCCACGTGCACTAAAATGCAGTAATCTATCCAGACGCACTTTTAACTGACAGCGCACAGAATATTGTCCCATTTTTTAGTGAACACCCTATAGGTGCTGCACACCGGTTGGATAGGCGGCTGGTCCTCATCTGGCCGGTATTCGGCAGCTCTAGGGCCGGTGTGCTGCACGGGATGCACCGGTCGGTCCGGTCCGCAGCGGCCGGGTGCGGCGGCGCTCCGCGGCGGCCACTACTCGCCGGCCGGCCGCTCCGACCGGACGCCACACGCCGACAGCCTCACCCACCTGCGGCGCGCAGTGGCCGTCCATTCAGCCGGGCCGATAGTCCGACCCATTCAGCCGCACTGCCATACAGGCGCCGCTTCGATCCGGCCGCCGACGCGCTGTTACGTAAGCGACGCGCACCTCGGCGCCGCCGGTTTGGGAGCCCCAGCGCGCGGCGGCCGCCCAGCAGTGCGAGCGAAGGTCGACGGCGGCGCGCGCGCTGTGGCTGTGCTGTCTGCCGGGGCGCCGCGACCGGAGAGGACCGTGCCAGCCGACGGACCGTGGAGCCGCACCAGCAGCGCTCGCAGCTCTGACTCAGGTGAGGACGCCATCTCCCCGACACCCCAGGCGGACTGCGGAGGGGCGCGGCGGACGGGCGCGGCCGCAGGTCTCCCCGGCATAGCAACCGGCGCCGTCCTGGGTCCAATAAACAGTCACTGGGCCACATACAGTCGGAGTGGGCTGCGGCGGCACTGGGCCGCTGTCCCCACTCCCCACCCCTCAGCAGCGCTGCGGACTCACCAGTGGCTGTCGGTGGGAGTTCCGCGGCGATCCCGCGGACACCGGGTCATCTGTCCGGCCCCGGCGGCAGCCTCCCAGCTGAGCGGGCGCTGGGTGCGGCCCCGGGGCCCGGGGGCAGGGCGCCGGGTCCGGCCCCAGGTCCCGGTGGCAGCATCCCAGCTGAGCGGGCACCGGGGCCGGCCCGGGGGGCCGGCCCCGGGGCCGGCCCCGGGGCCCGGCGCACCCCGTCCGCCCGGTGGGTGGGGCCCGCCACCGGGCCGATCCTGTACTGCACACTGAACAGCCTCTGGCCCATCCGTGTGCTCGCTGGCCACCTGCAAATAACGAGAGCCGTCACCAGTTTCATTTAGGGCACCTGAGTCTAAAAATGGCGTTCGGAAGTGGAGAACCACAAAGGTTATGCTGTCACTTGGGCTATAATGAAATCTTATCCTGCCATTGCGCGGTGTTATCGTTTTGGGAAGGAAGGATCCCTAAACTTGTGTCTACTGATCACTGGATGAGGAGCGATTACTGTAAACGGCACTTGTCACCGCGGCCCGGTCGTTCTCGTCCAAACAGAAGACGACATGAGATAATCAGATAGGATAGGCAGTGGACCCGGAGGCTATAGTCTCGGGCTCCCAGCGACAGGCGACTCAGTGCGTGCATCGGATAGCAGTGATGGCGATCAAGATCCGCGGCTCGCACCCCTCCAACTTGGAGCTGCCTACTTTGGTCCCATTTCCCACCACAGCCTCTTGTCCTTGATCCTATCGCTTCGATCGGCACTGCGGTCCGCTCCCCTCCAACTCGATATTGTGCCTCGCTTCTGAGGCCGTCCAACTGTGTGCCTAATGCCTATCGTCTATCGACGTCCAACGCTAACTGAGAATCGAGACCGTGAGTCAATCCGCACATTTGTGGACTGGCGGAGTCAAGCCCGTTGTGCGTAGAAAGTGCCTCGCTAATGCCAGTTGCGTGTGATCTGCTGTTGCAGCAGTCCGTTCACCCCCCCCCCCTCACCCCTCCCTCGGCCCAGACGAGGAGGCGGCCGACGTCACGCGCCACCCCCCGTGATGCGTCGTACGAGCACCGCCCGTATACTGCCAGGGTACCACGGCGCTACGCTTACAGTCTGGGCACCGTGGTACAGCGGCGGTAGCGTCTGCAGGAAATCTGGGTACGGCGCGAACTGCCCAGAACCCGTACCTACCCACCCCGGCGACGGACGGGGGGTGGATGAGGTGGGCGGCCGGTTACTACGGCACTGATGTCTCAGGGGACGGACAGACGACCGGGGATGAATAGACGAGTTACCGGGCTGAGTCCTCACTCCTCGGGTGACGGGAGGGGATGGGACCGGTACGGGACGAGTCCTCAAGAGTCAAGAGTCCTCAAGGGAATGGGGGACTGAGCTAGGAGGTGGCAGTCAGGGGATGGGCCGTCCGGCGGCCCCCGGTTCGCGTTCGGTCCATGCGTCGAATTCAAGGCTCAACCGTTTTGTTCAGCACTGGAGGTAGTTGTGCCAGGACCAGCGCCTCGTGACGGGGTCTGTCTGGAAATGCTGGTTCAGGTTCTATGACAATGAGGGAGGCTGGCTTCAACGCAGCTTTTGAACACGTAATTCGCCGCGCCATCGGTCTGACCTTGCCGGGTGTCATCAGTCAGCAGCCTGTCAACTCCCACTGAGTCAGCACTTCACCAAAAGACGACACCGCACAGGAAGATATCCGATACGACACATCCCTATTCGTTGCCCTATTCCCTATCTCCCTCACGCTCTGCGCCTCAGGCGGTTATTGTTATAGGGCCTTGCCCCAGGCAGACGACACCGAATTGCGCACGCAGCCGTGACGTCAGAACCGCCTGCGCCTACCCATCCCCTACCCCTACCCCCAGGGCTGCGGAGTCGGAGTCTGAGTCGGAGTCGGAGTCGGTCGGAGTCGACAGTTGTGACCGGAGTCGGAGTCGGAGTCGGAGTCGATTTTAGAAACCCGAGCCGGAGTCGGAGTCGGAGTCACCGAAAATCTGTCGACTCCGCAGCCCTGCTAGGTCTGCGGAGTCGGAGTCGGGAGTTGGAGTCGGTCGGAGTCGACAATTCTGCCCGGAGTCGGAGTCGGAGCTGGTTTTTGAAAGCCGGAGTCGGAATCGGAGTCGGAGTCGCCGAAAATCCATCGACTCCGCAAGCTGCCTACCCCAACCTCCACGCCCGCTGCACACACCACACACCGCACTCAGCAGTTTGCGGTGCCGGAGTTCTATAGCCTTGGCGGTGCCCGTGAACTCCCCTAAGGTTTGATATACATATAACGCTAACGGCTGTTATGCTTAGGCCGGAGCAAGGCCGGAGGCACTGGCAGTAACAGTACGATTCAGGTTGAAGAACTTGAACTAACTGTTAGAACGAAAGATAGGCATGTGCACGTGCCACTAAACCTTTACTTCAACTTACCGTTATCCGTGGTTTTGGTTAGAACCTATACAACCTTGGAATAAATAAAAAACAAAGAGCGAAGCGGGTGAGCAAGTATCAACCGTCGACGTTCCGCTGCGAAGGGCGAAACCGGAAATATCGAAAATAGCGCCCGGTCCTAAGGGCACTTGCTAGAAATGTTTTTTGCTGCCTCTGTTTGATAAGAAAGTCCTATGGCCTGAGACCCCAAGTTACCAGGCAACCTTACATGTTGCCTAGCAACTAGCTGCCAACAAAACTGTCAGCAGCAATTTGCCTAGCAACCAGCTTTTTTCTTCGTGCTATTGATCGTAATGAACAGTCTCCCTTAATGTAGACAGAAGTGCCGCGAGTGCTTCAAAATAACAGTAGGGCAGGGAGACGAAAAGCACGTTATTAGGCCTATGTTAGTAAATTATTTGAATTTTGCTGTAACTTTTCCTGTAAGCAAAAATCTGAGCATTTTTAGGAAACATCAGGTATCAGTATCAGTGTGTGCATTGTCCCACATGTATAAATTCCTTAGCTCAGCTGTGCCTATTGCTATTGCCTTTTAATTTTTGCTTTCCAATGCCACTGCAATTAAAGATATTGGTATAAGACAATAGTTGAAGATAAAAGACATGAAATTGCTGTATAAATGGATTTTTTATGAATGTATCTTGCTTCTCTATCCACAAGCATTCGAAAGCACAATAACAGTGAATGCTCTAGTGTTTTGTGTATCAGCAAAAAATGTTAAGTTCAAATTTCAGAAAATTATTTAATCCAGAATGACAAATTGAATATCTTATCATTATAATGATACTGTCCATGCAAGCGTTTAACTCCTTCAATTCCATACCACTTACCTAGCTATAATGGTAATCTTGGGTATTTGTAGGTACAATGATGATGATTCTTCATATTTTGACCATGTCAAGATAATGAATTGTGGGAGTTTGAATCATATACAGTTTCAGCTTAATAGTATTCAGTGTAACTTAGTAGTATTTGTGAGCTTGCATTTATTTTTATAAATATAGGTAGGTACTGTCAAAGTTCTCACAAGGTTTGTACTTTGCCATGCCCCCTTTTTTGGCTATAGTGTTTGGTAGCATGTTATGTTTGATGTTGCAGGCATGGCTGATGCAGAGAGCCAGCCAGTGATGGAGCAGGCTGATGTTGCAGCAGAGGCTGCTGCCGAGTCCATGTTCTCTACACTGGACCTGATTGTGCTGGCACTTCTGGGCCTGGCAGCAGTGTACTATGTCATCCTTCGCAACAAAAGGAAGGAAGAAGAGCTGGCACAGATGCAGAGCTTCACCATAACGTAAGTGGCATGGTTGACCTTTCGGTTGTCATTTGTTCATCTTATCTTACGTTCTGCTTATTTACTGCATTTGAGTCAGGTTTTGAATGGTTTGGAGTTTAAGGTTGAGTGCTGTTGCTGTTTGAACTTTAAGTTGGCCTTGCTGCTTATTTCATTTTTTCATATAAATGGTTGGTTATTTTCACATTTTATTTTTGTAAGTGGCGAGGTCCAGACGTGCTGATCTGACAGGTCTAGTGAAGGGAGTGGTATGAGGGCCCTGCTGGCCCAGTGGCGGGTCGTCCTGCCGTTCCCGGTCGCTGGGTCCTGGCTCCTCCCCACACCCCGTGACGGCCGTTACCGGGCGCGGGACGTGCTCAGTCGGAGTGACGTGCTCCTGCCAGACTGGCGGCACGAGCCGGTCGTAAAGCCGCCGCCAGCCGCCAGCCGCGGGGCTGCCCTGTCGGACCCCACTCGGGGTCGGACCGCCGGCGGGGACGGTACGACGCACCGGGTCCCCACCAGCCCGGCCCACCGCCGCGTCACACGTCACTCCGTATCCCTCCGGACATCACGTCACGTCCCTGTGACCCCGCTCCGCCCGCAGGTCGAGCGCGATGCCGATGTCCGTGTCGGACGACTCGTTCATCGACAAGATGAAGTCGTCGGGGAAGAACGTGCTGGTGGTGTACGGCAGCCAGACGGGCACCGCCGAGGAGTTCAGCACGCGCATCTCCAAGGAGTGCCGCCGATACGGTGAGTGACCGGGTCCGAGTTGGCGACCGGGTCCGAGTGTCGGTCTTCTGTCGGACCGTGAACGGACTGCGTCTGGACTGGGGTGGCTGGTAACGCTGTCAGTAGGTATGGAACTGGGGTGGCTGGTAACGCTGGCAGTAGGTATGGAACTGAGGTGGCTGGTGGCGGGTAACGCGGGCTGTACGGTACTCGAGTACACAGTTCGTCGGAAGGTCATTTCATGCACAAAAGAAATGAAATATACCATTCGAAAGCTGACGGCGAGCTGATTCCAAAAATGCAGTTTTTATCGAAATCGTTCGACGGCCTTTTTCAAAAATTGCGTATTTGTAAAAACAACTGTCAGAGGCTGTACCCAAGATTACTTTACTAATACCGGCTGTATCGGCCTCAGCTAGGCTGGAGTGGGGATAGCGCGCGGTGGGCAGGATAACTTTTGATCGGTCGCAGGGCCGAAAAGCTGTCGCTAGTACAGTCTCTGACAGTGAAACCCCGCTAGCTTTCCCTGCGCGGGCATCAAGCGCAGCTGGATTTATAACAACATGTAAATTAAAGCATGTTGTAAATCAAGCAGAACCATGAATTTTCTTCACAGGTATCTTGAATAACTTCGATAGCGATGTGAACCGTTAAACTAACAAGTATGACACTCGTTTAGTAGAACGAGAGCCGAACGTTCCTTCCGTGGTCGGTCGGGCGGGCCGAGAGTGCCGGGTCTGCGAGTCGATAAGAGTCATTACTCATTACACGCTTCTCTGTGACTGACTTTGGTCCATCGTGAGACTGCGCTGTGAGATTGCGCCTTTTTGTCGGCTTTGGGAGACGGATATTAATATTTGAAAATATGTTTGGCTACATATTGTTCTTTTAGCGTTCAGCTTTCACTAGGACACAAAAAAACATGCCCATGATTTCAAGAATGCCCGAGACAGCCAGCTGAATAAAACATTTCAAGGTTTTTACAAAAACGCAATTTTTGAAAAAGATCATCGAACGATTTGGATAAAAACTGCATTTTTGGAATCAGCTCGCCGTCAGCTTTCGAATGGTATATTTCGTTTCTTTTGTGCATGAAATGACCTTCCGACGAACCGTGAGTACTGGTGTGGTATTTGGTTACCTGGGCTGTACGGTGGTCGAGTACTGGTAAGTTATTTGGTAACGTTGGCTGGACTTAATGGGATTTTCTTCGGGCCCTCGTCTGTCGTCACTACGTGGTTAGTTCAATTGAAAAACGCAATTCTAACGAATAGTGCTTGTCAATTTCAAACAGCCTACGGTTGAAGATGGTGCAGTGAAGAAACCAGCCGATAGAAAGCAATCGCTTAATGGGCAATGCTCTTAGCTGCAAGATTGCCCTTTTGCATTTCAATCTGTAATAACGGAATGGCTTTGATTCTAGATACAAATTTTTTATTAACTGTCCAGTCTTAAATGCTGCAGAAATGGGGTTTAAGTTCAATGCACTTCAATTCAATCAATAACTTAAATAGGCTTAACGTTTCTAGACTAGTCGATCAGCTGTTCAGCCAAGCCGTATGTATTGATCACATTCTACAAGCATGTAAATTAAACACCAATTGTATGTTCACTAGGTACGTACGTTGACCTTATAACCAGAATATGTGAGTAGGTCTCGCCAAACCTCCGCTTGTGCCCTGTGGCGTAACGTCCGCTTTTACACGCTTGTTATGCTCAGAGTAGCTTGGAACTGCTTTGCTTAGATCATACAGAGTTTAACATGGAGAGCATGGTACCTCGTTATCGTACGTATGATACCTCGGTACGGTACCTCGTTAGCGTACGTGGCCTGTTCAGTTCACTTCAGCCGCGGTCGACGGGCTGTCTGACGCCTGCATCGACATTCGACCGATCCCCCGCGGCCCGCACTACCGGTGGTATAGGTACCGTGCCCGTACCGGGCGTCGTCTAGGAAGAAGGATCATTGGTCTCATGATCCGTACTGTGCGTTGCTCCGACTTTCGGTCCCGTGATCCGTGCCGTACCCGGCAATGGTCCTGCGATTCGTACCTGCCGTGCTCGCTCGGCCATTGCAGTACCTATCGTGATTCGTGCGTTGCTTCGTATCCGCACCATACGTGGGTCACGTGATCTGCAGGCACCCTGGCAGTACCCGCCGATAGCGTGTTGGCCAATGAGGTTGTTTTTGCGGCGGCGCCTGGCCGGAGGCCTGTTTGTACAAAGGCGCGTGCGCGGGCGTCATGCTGAGTGCGCCGGTGGCTGGGCGGGCCGGGGCGCGGCGTCACTGCCGCACAGGAAGTGACTGGTGGTTGCCGCCCGCCCCGCGGCTGGGTCTGTGGACGGGGAGCGGCGTGTCTGGCAGGTCAGACTGGGCAGTCGGCCGGCCGCTCCCGAGTTATGTCACCGTCGGGCGTGTCCCCGGTACAGTAACTTCTGCAACGTGTGATGATCCCGTTAGGAGGCTCGCTCTGGCGCTTCCGTCATCGCCCGGGGCGGTCCGATTCCCCTCGCCTATCTGCCGGCTGACGTGGCGCTCACATACCGTATCAGACCTCTGATTACGGCAATCACTGAGTCAGCTGCCGTCGTCACTCGTCGTGGCAACGGCGCGATGCACGACACTCTCAGCGATATTGTCTTGTAGTGGGACCGATCTCTGCCAGTGTTGGTATAAAACGGTAAAATGACTAATTTCAAGTAAGCGTTTTATTCTAACGCATGCAAGATTCTGCCGGAAAATTCGACGTTTTTTTTTTCTTGCTATCATTTCTCTTTGGCTCGCACGCTCTCCCATCTCTCCCTCCAAACAAAGAATGTTGCACAGTGCGGCTATACCTACCGTTCGATCGGGAACCGTTTGATGTCAAACCTTGCTTCAGAGGGGATGTTAACACTTGCCTTATTGCTGGTCGGTGCCACTGAGAGGACCGGGACTGGGGGGCTCCCGGGGGCGCTGGGAGACTGGGGTGGCCGCCGTGATGCTGTCGGTCGGCACTCCGGGGCTGGCACCGGGTCCCAGTGATACTGTGTAGTGTGTGGGAAGTCGATACGGTGGGGGTTCCGTCTCGGGTCATACAGTCTGTGTTTGAGTCTCCGGTGTGTGGGGAGTTTACGGGCGGTAATATGTCCGACAGGCTGCTCTGTGTTCAGTTCCCGGTGTAAGGAGTCGGTACGGTAGTTATATGTCCCCGTCAGACAGGGTGCTGTCTGTTCCGTTTCCGGTGTAGTACGGTGGTAACATGTCCCGGTCAGACAAGCTGCTCGTTCTCCAGCCGGGGCGATGTGGGGATTTATACGGTGGCGGCTCCGTGCCGGCCGGCGGAGAAGGAGCGGAGCGGAGGGGCAGCTGGCACGATGACGCGCGCTTCTCAGAATCGGCCGCCGAGGTCACGCATTGGCGAGGCCACCCCGCTTCAGCCAATTCTGGACGGTTTCGAGTCGAAAACCCGAGTCAGGAGCTTATTCAGCGTCCTAAATAAGCTGACTGATCTGGGCTGATCTGCGATCTCGTCGGTCATGCCGTTCTTCAGGGTTTTTGGGAGATATTCCCACTTTGCGAAATTCCTGGATCATTTGTTATGATGGGGCTTGAATCATCAATACCTACTTACTTTACATTCCATTGATGGCAAATTGACTATCCATAGGTGCTTACTGAACACTCGTTTTTTTTTCTTCTCTTTGTTTGAGCCCGCTATGGGTGGGGTATTAGAATGTGCCTGCTGATCGACCTTTTCGAACGGAGCCACGAACTGCTGACACTGGCCTTGCCTGTTACGCTCGCCGTCTCCTGTAACCAAGAGGAGCGCTGTGTCACCCTCCCTGACTGTGACACCCTCCAGAGGTCGGGCCGTAGAGGTCACCCCCCCCCCCCTCGTCAGCTGCCGACCGCCGCGCCGGGTTTTCCGGAGAGGGGGAGGGGGTCACCAGCCGCCGGTGCGTGGTCCTCCGCCGCCCCGCCCGGCTGACCTTGGTAGGAGGGCAGAGTGCGCGGAGGCGGCGGGGAGAGCGCCGGCGCGGCCATGGGCGGCGTTTGTGTGCCGAGCTGCTCGTCCCCGAGCGCCGCTGTCGGTTTACTATGCGGAGAGGGGGGGGGGGCGTGCAGAGAGCACGGTCACGGGGTACGGCAGCGCCCGTGGCGTGGCCGCGGCAACCGGAGCAGCTCACATGCCGCACAGCTGCGGGGTACGGACGACCCTGGATTAGACCCAAGGAGGCATCACTTATCGAGGGATTCTTGTATTAGTCTTCGATTGGTTAAGGAGCTGTTCTGCATTGTAATGATATATCACATCCTTGTTAACGCCACTTCACCATTTGCTCGTGTCATCTGATGTCGCTCTCAGGGGGCTGGTCGCTGAAAGCCGACTCCGCTTCTACCAATCGGAGGCTGGCCCGCCGCTGAGCCGAGCGCTGGCGTCACCCATTGTGATCGGTCCGTGCCTCGTGCGATCCGCAGCTGGCGCTGTAACTATTTTAGCGTCTCGTGGGACGCCGACAGACGTGCCGCAGGCTCACTGCCCCCCCCCCCCCCCTTCCCTCGCCGTGAATATGGCGGGGTTCACTGGCTATCCCTCCCCTCCCCCGCCGTGACCTGACCCGTGCGCCCTTCAGACGATAGCGTGCTTAGCTCAGACAGGCGGCAGCGCCCGAATAAGCGGCTATTTCCTGCCGGCGTATTGGCACTGGGCTCGCACGCTCAGTGGGGCAGGCTGGGACGGCGACCCGGAGTTCAAATATACAGACGAACATACGGACGGACGCGCAGTCGGGCAGGCAGCCGCTGTTTGTGAGGCGCTAACGGAGGGCTGCCGGTGCCGCTAGTTGTAAGACATCAACGGACAAATGATGGAAGCCTGAGAAGTGCATGTTGCAGGGAATGCGCAACAGCTGTGGAGTCTAATTTCCCATTCATTGCGAAATATATCCGATTACACAACAGCCCACGAGAAAATTGAACCATCATTGACGTTTTTCAACTCCTTTGTTCTTCATTCGTATAGGGTATGTCTAGCTGAGCATCGACCGTGGTCCTAGGCTAATAGCGAAGTTCCCGGCTACCTCACTAATATGGCTAGCGTCGCCTCCGATATTTCTTATCGACTAAACCGCCGCTCCCTCGCCCCTATCTGATATCTTACACTTCAGTACACATAGCCCTGAACAATAAGAGTTCTTCACCTGTGAGCCTGTTTTGACTCACCCAGCTGGTTGTGCTTGTCACTGTTTGTCTGACCTGACCTTATCTGACCCGACCTGACCTGTGCCCCCCCCCCGGTCAGGTATGCGCGGCCTGGTGGCCGACCGGGCTGTCTGATCTGACCTGACCTGACCTTTGGCCCCCCGGTCAGGTATGCGCGGCCTGGTGGCCGACCGGGATGTCTGACCTGACCTGACCTGACCTGACCTGTGACCCCCCGGTCAGGTATGCGCGGCCTGGTGGCCGACCGGGATGTCTGACCTGACCTGACCTGACCTGACCTGTGACCCCCCGGTCAGGTATGCGCGGCCTGGTGGCCGACCCGGAGGAGTGCAGCATGCAGGACCTGCCGCGGCTCACCGAGCTGGACACGCACCTCGCCATCTTCGTGCTGGCCACGTACGGCGAGGGCGACCCGTCCGACAACGCCCAGGAGTTCCACGAGTGGCTCAAGGAGACCGACGTCGACCTCTCGGGGATCAACTACACGGTACGGGCGGCCGGCGGCCGGCGGCGCGGACGGCGGCGCGGACGGACGGCAGCGCGGACGGGGCCGGGGACGGGGCGGACGGCTTAGATATTATGTAACACGGCCTGGTCAAGTGGCTTATGTAACTAATTTGTACATCCCGAGGGAGCAGCGAATGGTTGGGAAAGGCGAGAATGAACAGCTGCAGAGAACGTGAAATGAAATGTGGCTAGCAATGATGGTTTCTACACTGTTCTATAGATTGTTATCTATTGTTTTATTTGGAATCGCTGCAACGTTATTATTCTGCAAGAATATGTCACTGTTAGCAATTAAGTGGTCCCGTGTCAATCCGTGTTTCACTTCCGACGATTCTAGCTATGCCGATGGCTGCCATGTCTGACAAGTACCCGCCCCTCCCGTCAGGTGTTTGGACTCGGCAACAAGACGTACGAGCACTACAACGCCATGGGGAAGTTCGTCGACCGGCGGATGGAGGAGCTGGGCGCCACGCGGGTGTTCGAGCTCGGCCTTGGCGACGACGACGCCAAGTGAGTGGCACTCGACGGGTACCGAGCTCAGACACTCCCGCCCTGTGCTGTCCCGTGTCCCGGTGTGCTCCGTTTGCCTCTCTCCCTACTCTTGCACACTTACTTCGGTGGAAAGGCAGAATGTGGTGATATTACGCAGTTCTTCGCCATAAGATGTTGTTATTGTCCTCTTTGAACGCTAGTATCGAACGCCTTTTCTCTATGAGTATCGGCTAATGAGGCGGTGCGCCATGATTCCGCGTGTTTTGCGATAGCTGTCTGCGCCTGTATCTGCGGATGAGTGGAGGTCCTGCGCTGATACGGGTGTTCTGTTGGCAGTATCGAGGAGGACTTTCTGGGCTGGAAGGAGCGTATGTTTCCGCACGTGAAGGAGTATCTGGGCATCGAGGACTCTGGCGAGGAGGAGAAGCGCCAGTACGAGCTCAAGGTGCTGGAGGACGCCAACCACAACGACATCTTCAGCGGCGAGGTGGCCCGACTGCGCTCCTACACCAAGCAGAGGCCGTGAGTGTCGCGCGGCGGCGGACGCTGCGGGTGCCGCCGGGGGCAGTAGAAGGCTGTCGGCGCTCCATGGCTCCCCCATGGTACACGACCTTTCGCAGAAGGCTGTTGACTGAGGGATTAGCGCACAGACTAGCTGGGACCAGTTCATGACGAAACTTGCTTTGTTGCCCTGGATTAGCACGTACTATCCAGATATCAGATTGCGAAAGCGACATTGGCCTGGTAAATCCAATAATCGGGGAATGGTTTGTTGTACGCTCACATTTTAGCCGAGTATTGGTGTCGTGGTGTCGTTAATCCCCAAGTGTGATGCGTCTGGGTATCCTTGACCGTTTTCTGGTGCTACAAGCGGGGGCTCTGATGCAATTTATAATCCACGTTAGAACAGTTAAAACACAGTAATGCATGGGTGCTGTTTTACGCTACATACTATTTGCTTATTACCAGCGATTTAACGCTGGTTACAAATTTGTAATAGCTCGAAAATACCTTTTGCAAGACGATCAGCTGTTATCCGTTCTTACCTATAAATATTTATGTTCCCTAGCTTGCTAATCCAATATTCTCTGGAGTTTTTTTTACCAGCAGGACTCCATTTCTGAGCGGTCAAGCTTTAACAGACTCCCGCCATTACCCGATGTACTAGAGCTGGCTGGTGTAGGTTGAGTCACCCTCGGCTCTAGTTAATGGAGGCAGTGAGCCACAGTGACAGATAAATTCGGCTATGAACCGTGGTTAAACTACGAACACGGCGTCTGTTTTACAGAACTAATGTTGTTCGTTTTCTAACCCTACCCTGAAGCTGGACTCTGGAGGTCGATGTGTCGATGTTACCTTAGCGGATCCTGTTTGATGTCTGGTCCCCACGCTGTGTGACGCCTAGGACCCGCGCCTGGCTCCGCTGCTGTCGCTGCTGTGTGGTCCCCCTGATTCTCCATTATATGGCTCTTCTGGTTCCCCTGCTGACACTTCTCGGTGGCTCCCAGTCCGTTTGACGCCAAGAACCCGTACCTCGCCACGCTGGTTTCCCGCTAACACTACTTTGTGTTATTCCAATTATTCCCAGTCCGTTTGACGCCAAGAACCCGTAACTGGCCCCGCTGGTTCTCCTGCTAACACTACTCTGTATTGTTCCCAAACCATTTGACGCCAAGAACCCGTACCTGGCTCCGCCGGTTCCATGTTATTACTGTTGTGTGGTTCCCCGCTGACGCTGTTGTTTGGTTCCCAGACCGTTTGACGCCAAGAACCCGTACCTGGCCCCGCTGCGCGTGAACCGCCGGCTGCAGAAGGGCGGTGACCGCGAGCTGATGCACCTCGAGCTGGACATCGAGGGCTCGCGGATACGATACGAGGCCGGTCAGTTCAAACGACAGCGAGGCAACGCTCTGTGGACACAGTTTACAGGCCGGGATTCATAATACCTTGTCTCGTGTAGTTCCCTATGTTATTTCCGCCAGTTGAGCTTCTAATACTAGACTAAACCAGTTTAGAATTACTTTATTTGTATGCCACCATGGGTGCTGGCATATGGTTACAAATGCTCTCGCGATTCAGCTGATATAATCTCTGGTCGGAGCCGCGCCTTGTGTTGTGTTCGGATAAGATGAGCGAGCCGGCCACGGCCGTGCTGAGAGCGAACACTGCTTATCTACCCACCAAGGCCGTCATTTACATGTCAGTGGCGGCGAGAGTCGCTATACCCGAACCACGAGCGAATGTTTGTGGCCGCACTGATGCGCCATTTTTCGCCGACCCGGGCGGCGACAGCGTCTGACGTCGGTGTCTTCCCACGGCCGCTGGCCCCGTGCCGCGGACAGTACCCCCGCTCACCGGCGCCGCCCTGTGTCCTACAGGCGACCACGTGGCCGTGTACCCCACCAACGACCCGGCACTGGTGGACAAACTGGGAGAGATCTTCAACGTCAACCTGGACACCATCATCTCCCTCAACGCCATCGACCGTACGTCACACTGCGAGCGGAGGGAGAAGGGGAGGGAGGGGGGCTGTGATACCCTTAGCACAGAAGGGGCGGATTGGAACGGGAGGGATACTGATACTCTGAACACGCTGCGATGTGCGCTGAACCGCAGTCATGGCGCACCATTCGTGGCATGATCTTAAGATATGGTCTCTTAATTAATACCGGCAAAAAGCAATGTGATTTAGGCTGCCTGGCATTCAAAATTGGAATGTTCCGCCGACAAACCCCTCTGAGCGCCCGTGCCCCCCGTCCGCAGCTGACACCGCCAAGAAGCACCCGTTCCCGTGCCCGACCACGTACCGGACGGCGCTGCTGCACTACCTGGACATCACCAGCGTGCCCAAACACTACGTGCTCAAGGAGCTGGCCGAATACGCCACCGACGAGAAGGCGAGCCGACGGCCGAGTCGGGGCGGGGATGGCGGGGCTGGATGTGGGGCTGTTTAGGGTGGGTCAGGGGAGGGACTTGTGGGACCCATTGTCGGCTATGATATGGTGGTATTGTGTCGAACCTTAATGATTTAGAGCATAAGCAAATATGACCATTAGCGTATCCCGTGCCGCCCCTGAGCTGCTGTTCTGACCCGCTCGTGTGCCTCCTCAGGAGAAGGAGCGCCTGCTGCTGATGGCCGCCTCCTCGGAGGAGGGCAAGGCCGCCTACCACCAGTGGATGCTGGACCCTTGCCGCACGCTGCTCCATCTGCTGGAGGACATGCCGTCCTGCCGGCCGCCGCTCGACCTGCTCTGCGAGCTGCTCAACCGGCTCCAGCCGCGCTACTACTCCATATCGTCCAGCTCAAAGGTGAGGTATATCGTCCGCTACTGCTCCATACCGTCTCTGATAATAAGCGATCGCGATCTCTGATCATTGAGCTCTCTGCGCCAGTTGTCTCTCCTCCCCGTCAGCTGCCGCGCCCCGCCGGACCCCGCTGACGCCCCCCTCCCTCCCCCTCCCCCAGGTGCACCCGACGCGGATCCACATAACGTGTGTGCAGGTCAAGTACCAGACGAGCACGGGCCGCACCAACCTGGGCGTGGCCACCACCTGGCTGCTCGGCCACAAGACCAGCGACCTGGTGCCGGCAGACGGCGAGCCGCCCCTGCCCATGGACGTGCGCGTGCCCTGCTTCGTCAGAAAGTCCCAGTTCAGGTGGGATACACTACTGCGGTGGTGGAGTGGACCGGGCTGGGTCAGAAAGTCCCAGTTCAGGTGGGATACACTACTGCGGTGGTGGAGTGGACCGAACTGGGCGCAAGGTGCGGCGGTGGATGTTTTAGCGCGTTGTTGGCTCAGTTCAGTGAACTGATACGGCTTTATTTGCTTTTTGGTGATTGCGATAACATCCAGACTACGAGTCCTCACCACCTAAATCGACACAGTTACATAGTTAGGTCGTGTTTGAAGCCGTTCTACATGTCCGATCGTTTGTGTTCGTGTGTATTCTGAATGCCCTGACGCCCCGCCTGCGTCCCCGTCCGTCAGGCTGCCGTCGCGCTCCACCACGCCGGTCATTATGATCGGCCCGGGCACCGGGTTCGCGCCCATGAGAGGATTCATCCAGGAGCGAGCCTTCCAGAAGGAGCAGGGCAAGGAGGTGAGGCGGAGAAAGATAAGGAGAGAATGGGTGAGACGAAAGTAGATAGAATTAGAGAGGGAGAGGGAAGAGACGGAGTAGGGACAGAGACGGACCGCGGAGAGGCAGATGCGGCCCACCAAGACCGACGGCCGACCGCTCCAGGACCATAGCACGTCCGTGAGGGGACTTTGTTTATGTGGAAAGGCATATCGGGAAACATATCTGAGCAAATAGGTAACACTTCTGTCGGCGTGCTGAATGTTTACTATGTTAATGTTAATGTACGTGTTGTGATGCAGTTATCATATGTCAGGCGGAAGGAATGATGTAATTTCATATCTTTAAGAATCCGGAGTTAATTTGGTATATGCAGAGCAAGCGTCTTACGAAATGATAATGCTCTGAGCCAAAGTGTTATGATGGTAGAAATAAAAATGTTATCAAAATAACTAAACAGACAGGTGAAAGCATTTTCGCAGAATTCGCTATTGCTGAGCCCTTTGCTCCGACTTATCATGTAAACAGCTATGTGAATGTATAATTGTATCCTGTTGGTCGCTGGTATCGTTCCGCCATCCGACGTCTCTCTGACTGCCCCCCCCCCCCCCGCGGTCGCAGGTGGGGGAGACGTGGATGTTCTACGGCTGCCGTCACAAGGAGGAGGACTACATGTACCGCGAGGAGCTGGAAAAGTACGAGGCGGACGGCGTCATCAAGGTACGGTACCGCTCTGTAGGTACCGCTCTGTACCGCTCGGTACCGCTCGGTACCTCCCACCTCTACCGCTCGGTTCCGGTGGGACCCATCCAGTGTTTGATGCGCAGATGAACAGACCGAACAGACGAAACGAATCTCTGTGCGGGACCAGTTTAACCGTGAACGCAGATCGAGACGTTTTACCATCCGCATGAGGACACACCGATCATATTCTGAGCAGAGTTCGCACAATGTTCCACGGGCTGGCTATATGTATTCCACCTATATATTTGTATGGTTAGCAGCTTAGTGATAAGTCTTCCCTTTGACGTTAAACGTTCATGTTGTTCTGTTCGTCTGCTGTTCAATTCATCCGATACTTTCCGGTGTATCTGTGATCGGAGGAAGCGGTGGCACTATGTCGGAGGAAATGGCGTTGAGTGTACCAGCGAGCCGTCCTGTGGCGCTGCTTTTCGCTGTTGTGTGCTGAGCCCCGAACCGCAGCTGACTCCTCTCCTCTTCCGGCAGCTGTCTGTGCCGTACTGACCCCCTCCCCTCCACTCAGCTGCCTGTACCATACTGACTCCCACCCCCTCCCCGGCAGCTCTCTGTGGCGTTCTCTCGCGACCAGGCGCAGAAGGTGTACGTGACGCACCACCTGAAGGAGCACGCCGCCGACGTGTGGCGCCTGCTGGGCCAGCAGAACGGGCACGTGTACGTGTGCGGCGACGCCAAATCGATGGCGCGCGACGTCAGCCACCTTCTGACAGACATCTGCCGCGACCAGGGCGGCATGGACGCCCAGCAGGCCGACCAGTACATCAAGACCATGCGCAGTCAGAAGCGCTACTCGGAGGATGTCTGGAGCTAGGCGGACCGAGGGACGGGCCGACGGACCGGACTGGGAGGGATCAGAGGGACGAGAGGGGCCGCGCGCCGGGACCCCGAGAGGGACAGGAGAGAGGGGGCAGGTCCGCGGACTGGTGTAGAGAGGGCGACAGTCAGGGCAGCGCGCAGGTGGCGCCACCCGATACAGGCGGCGGGATGGCGAACTACTATCATGGAGCAGCAATGTGCCGGAGGCGCTAGAAATTTGATTTTGTAATGCATGTTATATGGAAACAGAAGATAGGTATATCCTGACGGCGCGATTTTAGGACGACGTTGGAACCGGCATGACCCATATTTTAATGTGCGAGGTTGATTTTCAGCATGGATTTTCCCTCGTTTTAGAGAATGTCTATTGAGTGTGTCGTCTTGTTTCGTCGCCCGAGTGTTGGCCTGTATTGCGTCTGGGACACGGTCAGGGATGGGTCCAAATGAGCCAGTGAGCTTTAGCACGTGGCGTTTCAGCTCAGCCGGCGCGCGGGATGGCCAGGGACCAGACGGTGGCTGGCTTACCCCGCCACCCTGGACCTCCACCGTCTGAATCGGTCGGTGGGGACCGCACAACTCTGTAGTACGTACTGTATCCAATCCACGCAGGGACGAGGCGCTCCGGTCGGGCCGCCGTCTCACACCGGGCACACATGTCGTTGTTTTCTACATTGGGCGACGTTAGTGAGCGTGAGCTGCGGGCCGGGCCCGTGAGCTCTGTATCGTGTTTGTATGTCTGTGTGTGGTGTGCGCGGCGGGTGGCGCGGGCCGACTCTCCCCTGTCTGTCGGTGGGACCGGCCCTCCCCTGTTGGTGGGACCGACTCTCCCCTGTCGGTGGGGCCGGCCCTCCCCTGTCTGTCGGTGGGACCGGCCCTCCCCTGTCGGGGCCGCTGGGCCGGCCGGCACCGCGCTCCCGCCGTCACACGGCAGCTCACCGAGCCGCCTGTTATGTGGTGTCCGAAATTACCATAATATACGCGATATGCTACGGACAGTGGTTTTGGTTGGGAGGAGGAGCAGCCGGCGAATTTGTGTTACTACAGAGAAGGGGGTTGGCGGGGGCTGGGGCGCCCATAACGATCACGGGTGGTCAGGCGGACTCGGCCACGGCCACCGTCTCGCAGCGCCTGATAGTTCGATCAGCAAGGCGAGGGACATTTCGCTGTCATTGGCCGTGAAGCAGTCGGTAAAAGTAAAAGTCTTACCGGCTCCAGAGGCCTCGCCTGTTCCAACACCCGACCGTAAAAGTTATTCCAAGAACCGGAAAACTCAACTTACATTCTCAGAAAACTTACATTCTCAACGCTGTCTTCTCGAGCAGCGCCCGTGTCAACCGGAAAACTCAAAAGCCTTCTTATCCCAGGCGAGTTCCAAGTACTTTTCGGCTCCACGACTTATGAATATTTAGCAGGCACTCGGCACTTACAATCCGCTGAGCACTCAGCAGTCTTACTGCCGTGGTCGGGTTTCAGGTGTTCAGCACTGCTGGAGACCGGGGTGCAGACTCGCTGGATGTGCTGCTTTTACTATTCATGCCACAACACTGCAGGCAAGAGCGGGAAACGACCAAATTGTATGGTGAGAGTAATAGAAAGCTTACCTTTATCCTTTCAAAAGGAGGTAAGAAACGTCACGCGACATTTGGGTCACCTCTGCCGCTTCCGGCGGCATGAGCCTGTGGGGATGCCCTTTCTTCTTCTTTTTTTTTAGTTAAATGTGTCAGAGGGCTTTATGTATTTTGAAGCTGCGGTAATCGGCTTTTCAAGCAACGCTGACGTGATTTTGTGCGCACATGCTTTTGGTATGATGCCGCCGTGTTCCACAGTGGGCAGTGGCTGGCGCTCTGCCGCCGACGCTCGGCAGCACCGCCGATCGGGCCACGCCCGACTGCAGTCTGTTGGCTCAGCCAGTCGACTGGCCGAGGTCGGCCCGTCCCAGGGGCGGCGGACACGGGCGCCGGCGGGCACGGCTACCGTTCCCCGAGAGGACGGCGGCACCTCCCGTTACCAGCGCCACTGCACATAGGTACCACAGCGAGCTGGGCGCGCCGGCAGTGCGGCGCCGCCAAAATGTGGGGCAAGGGCAAGGTCTGGCGGCTCCTGCGGCCGTCCCAGGGCCGGGTCAGCGGCCGGCTGACGGCGGCCACACCGCTCCTCACGGCCCGCCGCCGCACCGCAGAGCCATTTCGTAACGCAAGGCCGCCGAGTCGGCTTTCACTGCCGCGCCAGCCGGGCCGGGCTGGGCCGCCTGCTGGAGCCGGTCGGCTGTCACCGCCGCGTGAGACCAACACAGATCGGAAAAACGGTGTATTTCGTCTGACAAAAGGCGAAGAGCAACAGAAAAGGTCGATGTACCGGGCTGAGGGAGCGCGCGCAGACGGCGATACATCGCGGCGTAGAGAACGGGCGGCGGCGCGCACTGCACGCGACCCGAGCGGCGCCGACTGCCGGCGTACAGACGGCCCTCGGCAGTCGGCGGCTGTCGGTCGCCTCCCAGGGACACGGGTTTGTACCAGCTGAACGATAAAGATCGGCCCGCGACCTCCCGGCAGCCGCCAGAACGAGACAGATAATTTGGTAGTCACGACCCAACGGACACGACGGCGACAATCAAATCTGTTAGCGATGGACAGGGAGCCCGTACTGGGCTCGGCCGGGCGCCGCCCACAGCGAGCGCGCCAGAAACTCTACTAATCTGCGACACCAGCACCCATCTACTCGGAGCTAGGGGCGCAGTCGCCCACACTACGCAGCATCGCGACTACCACCGAGACCCCCCTACCGCCGAGACCCGCAGCGGGCACCGCCGACAAACCACTCAGCCCGCGCGGTACCGCTCACACTGCTCACTCACTCACACCGAGCAGCGTACGACGAGAAAAATACACTAACGACACGGCCCTAACCCGCCTCCGAGCCCGCCTACCAACGCAACGTGGGACTGAAACACACCTGACGCACAGGTCTACACGCACGGTGCACGGATCTGACGCACGGTACACGGGTCTGACGCACGGTACACGGGTCTGATGCACGGTACACGGGTCTGACGCACGGTACACGGGTCTGACGCACGGTACACGGATCTGACGCACGGTACACGGGTCTGATGCACAATACACGGGTCTGACGCACGGTATACTATACAAAGGTCTGACGCAACACTTGATGAAAATATCGGCGGCCCACGTCGCGGTGTGGCTCCGTTGCCTGTCGTAGCTCGCCGAGCGGAGAGCCGCGCCGCCCGCTGGAGGCAGCGGTACGTGAAAACCGCGACAGCAGATACATGTTCGTGAGCAAACCCTTCAATTCGCCTAACAATATAAAATACCCAAACATCTTTGGCTCACAAAAAGGAAGCAAGATGTCGATAATTTTACAACGATAACATTGGTCCAAGAAGAGGGCTTCAAAATATCGCAACTGTGACGATACGTTTCTTGCTAGGGCCGGTATGTTATGCAACAAGAACTCCTGACCAGCATACATGCATCCAAATATCAATCAAGAAATCCTGGATCATTATGTAACACCACGTCATCACATTCCTTCACAGCTCCTGTCCATTGTAGACCGCCGGAGGGAGGGGCGGGGTAGCCCGGCCCCAGCAGAGCCCGGAGCGGAGCGCACGGTCACTGTCACTGCCGCGGCGGGCCCGCACTCCGCCGTCACACAGCTCCTCTGTTCACCCGCGCCGGCCGCTGCGTGTCTCCATCGCCGGACCGTCACGGCGACCTCAGCCCGCAGAGGCCGGCGCGCCGCTGCCTCGGACACAGAGCCCGCCGGCCCACCGTCCCACACTGGCGGCACGGAGCCGAGCCGCTGGCACCGGCCCGTGCCGGTCCGCTCGGCCCTTCACAACACATCTCACTACCGCGCACAGACGCCGATCCACAGCAAAAATAAGTACGACTGTCTGACTGTCTGGGTGGGAGGCTGATCAGCTCCCGCGGACTGCATAGCTGGCCGCCCGGCGGCCGGGGCGCGTCGGCCGCGCCTACGCCTGGAGTTCGACCCAGCGGGCGGCGCCGCTCTCCACTAGGCGCTGGTTGACCAGCGTGATGGCGTTGTTGCCGTACTGAAACGGACGTCAGCCGGGCGTCAGAGCGGCGCACTTTCCCGCTCGGCCGGCGGCGGAACGAGGAAAGGCGGCGGCGGCGGCCGGGTCACGGGTCACGGCGGACCGTCACGGACCGGTTATACCGCGCCGCCGGAACCGGGAGACACGGACACCAGGCAACTGCACAGACCGTGCAGTGCGGCACGAGCACAAGGTAACTGCAGGACGGTACGGTACGGTACGGACCAACGGCAGCACAGACGCGACGGTACGGAACTGACTGTTGACCAACGACGGCACGGGTGCCACGGCACGGGTGCCACGGCACGGAGAAATGGAAGAATGGTGCGAACAAATGACAGACACGGACAAACTCCACAAGACAACACGTAAAAACACTGGTACAAACATTAGTCACAACGCTACGGACAACACAGATACCAAAACACAACAGCGCCATGACACGGGCGGACAAACAAGGCAGGAAAGCAAACTGGTTCGAGCCGGTGGAACAGCGCCTGAGCAATTCGCCGATCAATCAACTGAGATTGCGTGTCGTAATGATAACGAGCTCATTGACATGAAGTGGCCAGCCATTAGAGCGCTCGTTAGGGCCGACATTCGGTGAACAATACCGTGGCGGGGTTCGCCGGGTCCCGACAGACAGCGGCGCCGGGCCGTCCACCTACCTCGGTGCCCTGGATGCTGTAGAGGTTGACGAAGGGCGTGCCGTCCTCGGCGTAGCCCACCACCATGGCCTCCAGCGCGCGGTCCGTGATCAGACTCTCGAACACGGCGCCGGCCTCCAGGCTCCAGCCGTCCTCTGCCACACAACAGGGGACCGGACATAGTGACAGACGGCGCCGGCCTCCAGCCGTCGTCCGCCACACAACGGGGGACGGGACATAGTGACAGACGGCGCCGGCCTCCAGGCTCCAGCTGTCCTCTGCCACACAACAGGGGGGACGGGACATAGTGACAGACGGCGCCGGCCTCCAGCCGTCCTCTGCCACACAACAGGGGACCGGACATAGTGACAGACGGCGCCGGCCTCCAGGCTCCAGCCGTCCTCTGCCACACAACAGGGGGACGGGACATAGTGACAGACGGCGCCGGCCTCCAGGCTCCAGCCGTCCCCTCCCACACAACAGGGGGACGGGACATAGTGACAGACGGCGCCGGCCTCCAGCCGTCCTCTACCACACAACAGGGGACGGTACAAATAGTGACAGACGGCGCCGGCCTCCAGCCGTCCTCTGCCACACAACAGGGGACGGTACAAATAGTGACAGACGGCGCCGGCCTCCAGGCTCCAGCCGTCCTCTGCCACACAACAGGGGACGGGACATAGTGACAGACGGCACCGGCCTCCAGGCTCCAGCCGTCCTCTGCCACACAACAGGGGACGGGACATAGTGACAGACGGCGCCGGCCTCCAGGCTCCAGCCGTCCCCTCCCACACAACAGGGGACCGGACATAGTGACAGACGGCACCGGCCTCCAGCCGTCCTCTGCCACACAACAGGGGACGGGACATAGTGACAGACGGCGCCGGCCTCCAGCCGTCCTCTGCCACACAACAGGGGACCGGACATAGTGACAGACGGCGCCGGCCTCCAGGCTCCAGCCGTCCTCTGCCACACAACAGGGGACGGGACATAGTGACAGACGGCGCCGGCCTCCAGGCTCCAGCCGTCCCCTCCCACACAACAGGGGGACGGGACATAGTGACAGACGGCGCCGGCCTCCAGCCGTCCTCTACCACACAACAGGGGACGGTACAAATAGTGACAGACGGCGCCGGCCTCCAGCCGTCCTCTGCCACACAACAGGGGACGGTACAAATAGTGACAGACGGCGCCGGCCTCCAGGCTCCAGCCGTCCTCTGCCACACAACAGGGGACGGGACATAGTGACAGACGGCACCGGCCTCCAGGCTCCAGCCGTCCCCTCCCACACAACAGGGGGACGGGACATAGTGACAGACGGCGCCGGCCTCCAGCCGTCCTCTGCCACACAACAGGGGACGGTACAAATAGTGACAGACGGCGCCGGCCTCCAGGCTCCAGCCGTCCTCTGCCACACAACAGGGGACCGGACATAGTGACAGACGGCGCCGGCCTCCAGGCTCCAGCCGTCCTCTGCCACACAACAGGGGGACGGGACATAGTGACAGACGGCGCCGGCCTCCAGGCTCCAGCCGTCCCCTCCCACACAACAGGGGGACGGGACATAGTGACAGACGGCACCGGCCTCCAGCCGTCCTCTGCCACACAACAGGGGACGGGACATAGTGACAGACGGCGCCGGCCTCCAGCCGTCGTCCGCCACACAACAGGGGACGGGACATAGTGACATACGGCGCCGGCCTCCAGGCTCCAGCCGTCCCCTCCCACACAACAGGGGACGGGACATAGTGACAGACGGCGCCGGCCTCCAGGCTTCAGCTCCAGCCGTCCTCTGCCACACAACACAGGGCGACAGCCACCGTTAAGGCGGCCGCACACTGGGCTATTCGGCGGGCGAGATTCCGCAAAAGCGGAATGTCGTGGGCGACATTCCTACAGCGGCTTTCCGCTTGTTTCCAGCAGTTTACAGGACCATTCGGCGGTGCGATTTTCTACTTAGTATTTTCAGGAACTGTATGTGAAACATTTTATGATAAATATAAACGAATGCAAACTAAATACATTTAAGCAAATACAATATTTGCTTATTTAATGCGACTATGCTATATTTCTGTACAATAAAGTTTTGAATATCTATTAATTTGACATAATTTCTGGAGGAAGTTGCAAAAAAATAAAGCTCGTGATTAATGTAAACAACCGTGTTTGTCGACAAATGCAAGAAACCCAAAGACAATTGTGGAGAGGCACATAGTAACCCATTATTGGAATAACCAATGAAGTGTATAAAACCCATTTAATATGGGAAAAGAAGTGCCGCTACGATTTTTTATCAAGTGAAGTCTATTTCTCGGCTGCTCCATCAATAGTTGGTGAGTTTCAAGTTCCACAATTTCGGGTGTCCGCGGCGTCGCCGCGGAAAAAGCTGAACCGGTCCAGCTTTTTCCGCAACTCCGCGGCTGTTCGCACGCATGCGCACTCTACCCGCGGACAGCTAGCTGGCAGTGGTCGGCTGATAATTTTGTCGTTTCGGCAGCTGATTCGGCGTCCACGAAAGCGTAATGTCGCCACGGAATTGCGTTTTTGCGGAATGTCGCCCGCCGAATGGCCTAGTGTGCGGCCGCCTTTAGAAGTGAAACACAGTCTGCGACCCGTTCCCAGCGGTAAACCCACCCAGTCCCCGTCGCGACCCCTCGCCCGGCCGGTCAGCCGGCGGCACCCACCTGAGACGGGCATGACGTTGGCCAGGTAGCACTCCTCGGCCTGGAAGGGCAGCGACATGAAGTCGGTGCGCATCTGGCGGGCCAGCGCGGCCGGCAGCCGGCTGTAGCCGCCAAAGTCCATGAAGCGCACGTCCATCTCGTCCGAGTCGGGGTAGTAGGCCACCACCTGGGCGCGGTACCAGCCGCCGGCCACGGGCGCCGCGCAGATCGACGAGGCCACCACGGGTCGCGGCAGCTCCGGCGTCGAGCCGCCGTCGCCGTAGCAGGCGGCCATCAGCGTGGTGAGCCGCTCCAGGCCGCGGAAGGTGGGGTGCGTGTGCTGCTGCAGGAACAGCTGGCCGGCCGTCACCACGGCCGACACCAGCACGTCGCAGGTGACGCCCTGCGGCAGGTGCAGCTGCCGGCCGGAGGACGGGGGCGGGGGGGGGGGTCAGACACGGCAGGTGCAGCTGCCGGCCGGAGGACGTACGGGGGAGGGGGGGGGGGGGTCAGACACGGCGGGTACAGCGCAGAGAGACAGGCAGGGGTCTAGGGGGACGGGATCCAGAGGACCGGTATGGATAAACAGTCAGCTGTCCAGGGGAACGGGATGCAGGAGTACCTACGGCGCGACAAGCACTAACAGCGCCAATCTATTTATATCCCTCGCGGAAAATCTGCGCCGTAATGCCTCATCACCCTCTCGGCGGGCGTGGGCGCGCTGTGCGGTGCACGACTCGGGCACCGCTCTGACTCGGCCGGACAGCGCGGCACGGCTGAGCCCGGCAGTTTGTTTGGGGTACAGGGTCCACCCGCTACTCTCGGAACACAGCAGCCGCCGCGGGAAACGTGATTCATACCACCAACCAGACACTTATAGAAAACTAGCAATACACTTACATCACACAGTCGCTTTAAAAAATACGGAACATTTCTTACATAGCAGGAAAAAGGGTTCCCTGTGTTCGTTCCCTGCCCACCTGCTGACTGTCGGGCACGGCCAGCGCCTGCTCGCTGGGACGATTCAGCTGCTCCAGCGTCATCGCCGGGAACTTGTTGACGGGAAACTTCTCCCGGATCAGCTTCAGGCAGGCGTCAATCTCCGACTGGGTCCCTGCCACCGTCAGACAGACGCGTTAGTGGACCCATCGGATACCGACTGTCAGTGGGACCACCGGATACAGAGTCCCTACGACCGTCAGTGAGCCCAATGGATACCGTCACACAAACACGTCAATGGACCCAAATAATGCCGACCGTCAGCGGGTAATTAGTCTGCAGACAATATGAGGGTCCGCAGCGCGCTACCTTTCTTCTAATGGTTCATAGAACGGCGTCAGTACGTGCATTTGAAGCGCTCTGGCGGACAATACACCCGGCAAAAACTCGACCAAGGACCCTGCCTTATATGACCGGCTACTGCGCTAATGCATATTCGGGACAGTAAACCACCTAGACCGGGCCCCGGGAGCTCCATGACAGAGCACGAGTGAGACGGCAGTGCTTACACAATGTAATCGCGTCAGAATTCAGATATCATTCAGATGGGCGGCCCGCCCATCCTGATAGCGCCGGCCGCTCGCCGGGGCGGTCCGCGGCCGCCACCGGTGACCGACATTTACCGGAGCCGATATACAGGGTCACGCACACAGTTCACAGCGGCCCGGCCGTCCACTCACCATCCACGGAGCAGATCTTCACCGACGACTTGACCGGGTGCAGCCGGATGATGACGTGCGCGCCCGTCCGCGCCTTCAGCATGTTGACGAAGGTGCCGTTCTTGCCGATCAGCCGACCGCACAGTTTCTGCGCCCCCGGGGTACGGCACACGGTCACATACGGCGGTTATCGGGGACAGCCACGGCACAGAGCACAGAGAGGCAGCCACACGGAGCTGCGTCCTACATACAGCCCGACATGTTTACTTAGACAACAGGCCGAATTCCCGCCAGGCATGAGTCGCACCGAGCACCACACGTGCTCCATCATTCAGATACCCGTGGCCATTTTCCATTCACAAACCCACAGTCGTGTCCCTACTCAGATCTCGGCGGTGCCAGCAGCCAGCACGTGGCCCCGGCCGGCCGCCCCCCCCCCGTCCCCGCCCGGGCGCGGTGCCGCGCCGTGGGCGGCTCTGGCACCCCTCCACGGCAGGCCACCCCCGCCCCGCCGCCGGCCGGCCGCGCTCACCTGCGGTATCAGGAAGTCGTACACGGTGGTCTGCATGGGCGCCGACTCGGGACTGGTGGCCGGAGAGGCCTGCTCCAGGCTGGCCGAGCTGCCGCCCTTGCCGCTGTCGCTGGAGCTCTGCGCCGCCGCCGGCACGGGGACACACGCAGCACGGTCAGTGCGGAGTCACCCACTAACTCACATCGGCCGCCGCTGGAGCGGGATTGGGCGGACTCTCTCGCCCACAACGTGAACGGGACTTTAGCGGGAAGACACGGGTGTACAGCCCCAAACGTACGGACCATTGAAAATGGTACCAGCGTCATCAAATATTGGTTCCTCTTACCTTCCATATCCAAACAAAGATGTTGCGACCAAAGCAAACAGTGACGCAATGTTTGCAATCAAACATTGCAGCCTGGTGGCCGACGACCCACGCCGTTCGTCCACCAACGGGGGCGTGGTTAGGTGCTGAGACAGCCGCCCTGCGCCCCGTTGCCCTGTGTCCCGCCCCCCCCCCCCCCGTCCCCGACCCCCGGACCGGAGCCCCGTCCCCGACCCGCGGACCGGAGCCCCGTCCCCGCCCCCCGGACCGGTGCCGCCCTCACCTCGCTGGCCGTATCGGCGCCCGTTTCGGCAGCACCGCCCGCCGGTGGCTCAGCCGCCTCGGCGCCGGCCGCCGCCGCCGCCTCGGCAGAAGGCTCCGGCACTACCTCGGACTGCTGGGTGGCCTCCTGGGCCGCCTCCGGCTGCTGGGTGGCCTCCGGGGCCGCCTCAGGCTGCTGGGTGGCCTCCAGGGCCGCAGGGGCATCGGCGGAGACGGCTGGAGCCTCCGAAGAGACGGTCGGCGCGTCCTCCTTGGTTATGGCTGGCTCCTGAACGGAATCCCGCGGCTCCTTACCGGCCACCGTCGGCTCCTGACCGTTCGTCTGCGACTCCTGGCTGTTCGTCTGCGGCTCCTCCGACTCTGTGACCGCATCTGTCTCCGCTCCGGCGGGCTCCGTCGCCTGGGCCGGCGCGTCTCCGGCCTCCGGCGGCGGCTGTTCTCGCTGGGAGGCCGGCTGGATGGCCGCCTCCAGTGCGCTGAGGGCGTCTCCCTTCACCGCCGGCTCCGGTACACTATCCTCCGGCTGGGAGCGAGCGGCATCAGCCGGCTGGGCGGCCAGCGGCGCGGTCCGGACTGCGGCCGGCTCAGGCTCTGTGCATGTCTCTGTGTCTGCGGACCCCCCGGCGGGGGCTCGGTCCGGCGCCGGCGGCTCGGGCGGGTCCGAGTCAGAGCGTCCCCGCCGGTGCAGGTACAGGCAGATGGCCACCACGGTGAGCACTGGCAGCGTCACCAGCAGCAGCGGACGGCCCGACATGGTGGCGACCCGGCGCTCTGTCTGCCGGGCAGACGACCGCGGCAGACCCGTCAGAGCCCAGACTGGACGTCCGGTCAGCACTCAGCGCTGAGACTGGACCAGTCAGCACTGAGACTGGACCAGTCAGCACTGAGACTGGAAACATCAGTACTGAGGCTGGAAACATCAGCACTGAGGCTAGACATAGCACTGAGACTGGAAATAGCAGCACTGGGGGCTAGACACAGAGGCACTGAGACTGGACACATCTACACCGATATTGGACACATCAGCACTGGGACTCAGAGAGACAATAGATAGGTACATCAACAGAGACTGGATAAATCTGCATTCTGCAATGATTGAATACTCAGAAACTGTCCTTGAGGCCCCTAGCTATGCTGTGAAATGGCCGATGGCTGGCTGCACTGAAACAACTCAGTGAAAATATATGAAGCTAAGTTAGGTTGCCATGATAATGAACCACAAAGTGATGCTCTAATGAGTTAACAATTGTATTGCCATTGAGCTTATAGTTTTATCAAAATGTAGCTCATGAACAAAATTTAATAAAATCACTTGATGGCTTATTTTGCACAGCTATGTAACATCTTTAATGCTTTTTATGAGTGTTTTTTTTTATTTCAGTGTAAGCAGAGAAAACATTAACTACTATCAGCTATGTCACACAAAATGCAAAATCAAATTCACATGAGCTTGATGATCAGTCAAGCATGCTTCTCAGTTGAAAAAAAAACATTATCACTAAGAAAAACAAAAACAAGCTGAAACTTCCTAAAAACTTCCTTAACTAGGTACCCTAAGGCTGGAACACAGCCTTTACTTATGCTGATCACTTCTTCCTCCTCTGATCAAAGATTTATAATACAAGGCATACCTATGTAGGTATCTATTTTTCTCCGAACTCTCAACACTTTGAGATGGGACCTCAAAGCCAGGGCCTATGGGTTGAAGGTGAAAAATATGCCATGCATTTCAATGGAAATGGAGGTAGCAAGACTGACTTCCATTTCCATGCAAGGAAGCTGTGTTCCAGCTTCACGGACTGAGACTATCAACTATGGAAGATTGCCAGCTCACCTCTGCCAACTACCTGAACATGAGATGAGAGGCTTGAGAATTTCCTCTTAAATGCTTAATATTAAAGCATCGTGATAAACAGCAATCCAGCCTCTTGTCAAGCAACACATTTTATTTGTTAAAATATATTCAATCGCTATTCTCAACATATAAGCACGAACGCAGACAAATGTGGCGGATTGCTCCGAGCGACATGACGGTCGCTGCCATAAATATGGATACTTACAAGTCTTAAGTCACGTTTATTGTGCTTAAGTGCAGGCAGTGACTAACACTCGTCAGGTTTATCCGACTCAATCGATATAATTTACCTAAAAATAACGATTATTTTGGTACACCATCCACACGTGCACCACACTCCGCTTCTTTCCCAAGCCCGCAACTTAAACTGCGAAAAAATGATTATTAACTATGAGATGTGTATCTCCCCCAAAAAATATTTCTTTTTTTGAAATTTGAAAACAAAGACAAAATGTCATAAAATTCAAATACCATTGTAAAAACATTTATTTTTAGTTTGTTATAAGTCGTGCTGACATTCCAAAACGGCGCACAACAGACAGCAATCAACTTGAACGTATTTGAAAAGAAAAATCAGAATAGTAATTGACGTCATTATATTTTCATACAGCTTTGAGCTCATTGTCTTCCTATAAAACTGATTTTGAAGTTCTAATAAGAACCCATTTCTTATGAAAATCTGAATAAAATGGACAGTGAACCATCTTGCTGCTTCATATTCCTCCACTTGTTGCTGATTCGCTAATACCCATGTCGAATCGGGAAATCAAACTCCTGCAACCGATGTATAGGCAAGCCAATCTTTTTTTGTTTAAAATTAATTTCATTAATAAATGGAAATTTGAAATTTTAATGGTTTTTCAAAATCGTAAACCTTTTGCACACGTTTTTTTGCGAAACCATTTCTTCCTTCTTTATTTTATAAAAAATATTATTGACGTCATCAAAAGAGTAAGCATTTTCACATTCTCAGCGCCTTGCTCAGCGGTATAAAGGTTTTGTTTTACTTTCAGCTATATAATATTGTGTCATACAATATTGACAATATTACAGAATACAAAAAAAATATATTGATTTCTCTTCAATTCGTTTCCGTTTTTGTGCTTTTACTGTCTGCCTGACCTGCCAATATTGACCGCAGCTGCTGTATTTAGAGGGATTTCTTCTACTCTAAGTAGATTGGTACCAGTGGCGGCGGAAGGTATTCTAGGATAGGGGTGCAAACGATATTGAAGCGCCCCTTCCCGCTGGGCGCCCCTTACCATGCCGATGGCCGTCCCTGCACTGGAAAATCAGTTTCGCCCCTATACGGGCGCCCATAAAAGTTTGCAGAGTGCTATTCCTGGTCATAATCATTAATCATCTCCCAAGTAAAAAAAAAAACGCAAAATACGCCCTAGCACTAGGGGTGTAACCGCCCATACGGACAGTGCAATTTTACAGGCCCTAATCTCGGACCTCCCTTAACATTCATATGTTGTAAACGGCAAACCGCCCCCGATAAATGTTACACAAACTAATTTCCTCTCGCATATCGGCCATCAGGCGCCCCTTTTTGTCGCATGGAGCCTGCAACGCTATAAGCCCTCATATGTTCGTGTTGGCGTTCGGACGCTATCGCCTTCAAAGACGTCTCCATAAATGTTTCTTTTTCGTCCCCCACACAGGCGCCCCTCTTTCGCATGCAGGCGCCCCTCTTCCGCATGGCGCGCTTCTCGAGTAGCTGCGCCCTCCTAGCCTTTATCGCCTGGCAAGATTATATTCGACAGGGTCGGCAGCATCTGCCTTTGTTTCAGATAAGGATGCCCTCCACTCTTCAGCATATCAAAAGATACTTTTCCCACGTCATTGCCACCCTCTTCGTGTCACAAGTGCCTTTATCAGTTGCGGTGTCGCCTCGCACTACTCAGCTTTATGGCTGCCGCACCTCTAACTTCCTGCCTCCTCTACAGATTTCCGAGGCGCCCCTTTCCATAGCTTTAGGGTGCAGCTGCCCCCCTTGCCCCCCTGCTTCCGCCGCCACTGATTGGTACCGGTAAGTATATATATGGGGTTTTTATTTTCCGGATTCAGTCAGCTGGCGCCGTACGATGGCGCTAGTAGAGCCATTTAGATATACATCAATATATAGATATAAGTACGGAAGTAGATGGATACCTATCAACGTGTTTCCCTTGCATTTAGCATCAGGAAAATTAGGTATAATTATCGGTATTTGTGTCAAGATAAGGTCCGATCTACAATTGTGGTGCTGTTGATACTAATATGAAACAGCGGAAATTTTAGGTTGTTACCTAGTTATCTGGTATCACCAGTAATTATTTGGTATTGCAAGGACTATTTATGCAATAAGCTATTTTTAGATTGCTTTTGCTTCATTAATGGCTCTTCTAGGTACTATTTGTCATGTCCATTGTTTACAGTGTCAGCCTAAAACATTGAATCATCCCAGTGATCCTGGATAATTCTCCCTGGCTATCTATATGTTGAACACACACTAAATGGCACTAATACAGAAATTAATAGGTACCGTAAAACGGGGTGTTAAGGGACAGTTTTGAGGTGTTTTGTTATATAACTGAAGAAGGGTTGGAGATAGAAGCATCAAATTGTCAGCATTTTATGTGGAATTTGGTGCTTTACATGCCTGCCACATTAAAGTTTTTAAAATTTATGCCTGCATATTATTTTTTAATATTTTTCATCACTGTCCCTTAGCACCCCAATGTGGGGTGTTAAGGGACACCTATATTATTCCAAGAAATAGTCATCAAATGCCCACAATTGGGGTGTGAAAGGGCACATAATTTATTTATTGAAATGTTTTGCATATTCTGTCACAAAACAAGTCAGGTTCATTCACCACTAATGACCTTTTTAGCCAATTACGTGTAATGCTGTTTACGCTTGTGGAAAATGTGCTAATTATAAGGTAAACAGAACCAAAAAGTAATCTTCTGTCATCAATAAAAACCCATGTTGAAGCTAGTCACTTGTCATTATGTTGCCCTCTTTGTTTTGGCCTTTTTATGATGACATCACATTTACCTACATCAGTCTCCATTGACCCATCATTGTAAAAGAGAGTGTTGAGATGTTTTGTTACATAACTTAAGATGTGTTAGAGATAAAAGCATGAACTTGCCAGCATTTTATGTGGAATTTGGTGTTTTCCATGCCTACTGAAAGAAAACTTGATTAAATTATATTTATATTTTATTTTTTATTTTTTCTTCCCTGTCCCTTAGCACCCCACATCCATCTCAAAATATGCATGTATCCGGAAAAGAGGAAGAGGATGATGAATGAATGGGTGGATTTGCACAAGTTTTTCAGGAAACATGTGTAATACATGTGACAATACACTTATGCATTCATTTTCCCTGTACACCCACTAGTTTATGTGGTACACACAGAGTTTTGGAGATGTTTCAATTTTGTGAAAATGTAGCAAGGTTTTCAAATCCATTTTTGAACCAAATCACTTGCATGAAAAACCATAGCATTTTGTCCTATGGTCAAGAGCAAAACAGTGTCAACTACCACACTGAACTTTTTATTGAACCTTCTCAAATTAGGAAGTTAATATGACTCAAAGTTTTTCCCATGCAACTGTCCCTTAACACCCCACTGTCCCTTAACACCCCATTTTACGGTAGATATTAAGTCCTTTATGTATATGCATCAATAAATAACAAGCTCTGCTGACTGCTAGTGCCATCATAAGGCACCAGCTCGCCAGCCAGCTGACTGAATCCAGAAAATAACAAGGTCAGGTAAATGCTGCAATGGCACTTTTTCATTTTTGCTTATAATTTAGGACGATTATTGACTCAAGATTGTGGTGAGATTACGGGTAGTTAGTTTGAGCTAGAAATTGTCGGTCAGCATGACTGTATGAGTTGGCTTATTATTCTTACTAAACATGAGTTTCTCTATAGAGTGATGTCCATATTACAGGAATTAACTTTACAGATCAATCACTTTCATTTCCCTATTTTATACTTTAATTGCATATTTGATTTCCTTTCATTATTATTTAGTGGCTAATTATTGATAAATGAAGACCAACTAAGATTTGTAATCTTCCAGTAAGGTACCTCACTTAGTGTGGTGTGATAGGTGGTATACCAACATGACACCAACTTCAAAGGTTACATAGCTACCTTCAACTTTAAAATGGAAGATGGGCATGGGATTGGGAAACTAATACCTACCTAATTTTATGTCACTAATAATGGATGTCTTTAAATGGCCCAGGTTGTTGAGTGCTGATCAGCATTGCCCTCCCACAGAGAGTGTCCCTGATGTCTGCCCTGGTGCCGCGGGCGGCCGGCTGGGTGCCCCGGCTGGCGGGTCCGGTCCGGCCCGGCTCCACGGCGGCAGGCGCCGCTCCGACGTTCGTCAACAAGAACCCGCGTAACCTGGAGCGGATGCGGCTGGCGCGCAAACAGGAGGGCTGGAGACTGGAGCCCGAGAGCCGGATGTACTGGCACAGGTACGGCATCGGCGGCCCGGCCAACCGACACCCACCGGACTCCTTCGGTTGTGGTCTGTGACCTCATGAATATGTTATCCATGCTGTGCTATGGTACTGATGTGGAAATCGTTTAACTGTTCCCGGCCATCCCGATCTGGTCTGGTTATATATTTGCCATTTACATGCCATGTACTCGATGTTTTTCTGCCGAATCGTTTATTATCACGCGTAGCCGTTTGGTATTCCAATGGTCAACAGCAGTCGGGATCAGATGTGCTTCCTACATCTTATGATCTTACCCCGCGTTCGGTGTCTCTCGGACGGCGAAGATTCTACACCGTCCGGCCAATCACGTTCCATAAGCGCAGCCGAGCTCCCGCTGACCTTGAGCGGGATTGGCCGGACGACGTAGAATCTTCGTCGTCCGGGAGACATCGAACGCGGGGTTAATTTCCCAAGAGGGACACGTAAATTTTGCATGTCTCCCTTACATAGCCCCTATCCACTGACCTGGCATACAGCAGTGTCCTGAATAATATCTCACATTGGCGGTATCCCAGTTGGCACTGTAGGTATGGCATGCGTCGTAACTTTCTTGCACTGATGCACTGTTGGGCTGTCCCGTACCTATTTGGGCCGCAGCTGCCCGGCTCCGTCTCCCCGGTCCGTCCCGCTGAGCGACCGCCCCGCTCGGCGCCGACAGGGCCGTGTTCGAGGCCACCAACCGGCACACGTCGGCGCACGTGGAGCACCAGGCCGGCCGGCGGCTGGCGTCGGCCTCCAGCCGCGAGCTGTGCGTGCGCCGACACCTGTTCTCGGCGGTGGACGTGTGCGCCGCCGAGGCGGTCGGCCGCGTGCTGGCGCGCCGCTGCCTCGAGGCCGGCATCACCGAGCTCGAGTTTCCCACCACCGAGGAGCAGCTGGAGCGATCCAACAGGGTACGTACGGGGGCCGGTGAGACGGCGCCAGTGGGTACGGGTCATGGCGGCTGTGTCTGGTGGTTCTGAAAACTCACATCCCTCTGAATTACCCTGATAATTCGAGCTTTTTGCAATAATGCCAGACGACTTATGCACAAAAAATATGGCATAAAGACTTGCGCAGAACTATGGGCTAGACTGACGTCGTTAGTGATTAAGGCAAATTGTCCCACCCTTTCGCCTATCCAGAGTCCCGTCCGCAGCTGTCCGAATGCAAGCAGCCTTGCGTCGATACATGTTTAGCGGGCTGTCGCCAGATGTTGCTTTTACTTGAAGCTCTGAGCATGCAGTTTTCGGTGCCCCTCGGATACATTTTAAGAGTTCGGAGTACCGGGCCGACAAATGTGTAGTGTGACGCCCGGGTAGCGTCCCACTGAACTGTGTGTCTGTGCCGGCAGCTGCGGTCCTTTGTGCGCGCGATGGAGGAGGAGGGCCTGAAACTGCAGGAGCCGCCCGCCATCAAACCCGAGCCCTGGTGGAGCAAGGACCGCCAGCAGAAGCCGTGGCACGTGCCCGAGGAGGAAGTGGTCGGATAACGACGGCCGACTGCGTCCCAATAGTGATATGTCGCGAGTGTCCAGTGAGTCGCTGTAATTGTACACATTAAAAATGGTCATATGTATTGGAACTTTGGTGCGCACACGAATTGCAATCCAACAACGATCGTCCAGAAATGTCTATGGCCTGGATTTGAAATTAGATAAATGGCCAGCTAAGCCAGCCGTGTAGAATGATCGCTCAGATCAAAACGCACGCACCTAGCCAGCGTTTGTTCACTAACAAGCTCGCCCCCACCGTGACCGCGCAACCAACTCAACTTTCTGACATCGCCGCTAAATAACCGCACAGCGTGCAGAAAGACGGTGCCCCTGTCCTCCCCAGCCACTGACCATGGCTCCCCGGCCACACAGCAGCCCGCCCTCCGTCGGCACCACCGGACACCCTCTGTCTCAGTCTCTCCCGTGCCGCCGCCGCCGCCGCCGCGGTACCGGCGGACAGCGACAGTTCCCGATCGAGGCTTTGGACGGTCCTCCGCGCCGGCTCACACGACTCGCCGCACCTCGAAGAACCGCTTGAGGTAGTACACCTGGCCCATGGTCATGGCCACCAACACGAGCGCCTCGAAAAAGGACCAGAGCACGACGCGCGAGTTTGTGCTGTCGTTGATGGCGCGGTGGATCTTCTCGCGCACCTCCATGTAGTCTTGCTCGTGCTTGACGGCCGTCAGCGCCGACCCCAGGTCCTTGATCATGTCCTCCAGCTTGTTGTGGCTCGCTGAAACGGACAGACACCACAACGTCAAGAGTCAACCTCTCGCTCCTCGACAGTGACCTCGAAGACAACGATGAGCCCGTGTTCTAACTATACGACCATAGCTGCAGACGACCTGGGTTCACAATGGCTCCAAGCATGACATTTTTACATTAACTTCGCACATTCTATGTGAAGCATTACACCCGAAATTTTATCGTGACGATAAAAATGATCTCAAAAAATTATTAATACGCTCGGTTTGAAGTAAACGCAAAAAGCTTTCTTAGTCATTCGATATCCAGAGCCAACAGTGCAGTATGCAACTATGAAAATGCTTCGCGGTGCCAACCCGAGACCAACCACCCTCCCCTCCCACCTACGCCGGCGAGGGATGACGCCGAGGTCAGGACCATCATGATTCCTCACTATCCTTCAGTCTGCAGTAGGTTTCCGCAAAATCAAGACACATTCTCGGGTCTTCCGAAGCCCGTAGTGTAGGAATCGCCGCAATAACCCACCCCGTTTCGAGCCGTCGAAATCGACAGCAGGTTCTGCACCCAGCGCGGCTTTCAGGTCTTTGCGTCATACATACCTTCGCCGTCGACTCCGTCTTTCTTAGACGCCTCCCCGAGGTCCATGGAGAACATGACGATCTTCGGCGTCATGGTGGACATCTTGTTGCCGAAGCAGTAGGTGAACACACCGTCCATGTGAGCAGGGAAGGTGAACCTGCCATTGCTCTCCCGCTCCTGCTGGTACACCACCTTGCCGTCGGGCCCAATCAGCTTGATGTCAATGTCCAAAAAGCCACCCTCCACCACCTCAAATGCGAGACCTGTGAGAGAGAGAGACAATGTGTCGATTAAATTGATAAGGTTCCAGGATCCCAAATGTTAACTCTGTTCCCAGTCCTGTGATGTATTTCTGGGTGGTCAGTTCAGGTGACACTAAATGTGCATGCACAGGCCACAGTTCCAGTGTGGCAAGAATGCCTCCACATCTTAGAGATGACAGAAAGGAGAGACTGGATGCATGGTGTCTACACATGATCACAGTTCTTTACATATTGGACATGTACACCATTTTCTTCAGTATTCTTCAGAAAAACATTGCTAACTAATGATTTCACTGGAACCTAACAAGCTAAAATTAATAGACTAAATGGTGATTTTCTGGTATTAAAGAGTGGGTTACATCCAGTAAGGGACAACAGTCTGTGGATGCCTTTGAATTGGGGTTGATGGGAGATTTGAACTTGGGACCTAACTAATAGCCATACAGTTCTGCTTGTGAAATGGGTAAGAGCTGAAGGGTTAAGAGGGTAGGGTATGGGTAGGCTAGTGTAGTCATTATTAGGGCAATTGATATATCTAATCCTAACTTAGTAAGAAAATAGGGTAAAAGTATACATTAAGTCCGAGTGACTGTTAAAAGATAAAGTTTTCATATTCTTACATTATTTGACATCCTGAATCCAAAAATGATACTTATATGTCCTGGAAATAAAAGGAAAACATAATCAAACCTGACCTAACCTTACCTATTTACCTACAACCTACCAACCTACAAACCTACAACCTAACCTAACCTAACCTAACCTAACCTACAAACCTACAACCTAAAACCTACAAATCTACAACCTAACCTAACCTAAAACCTAAATTTTTTGCTGTTTCATATTTGTATCAACAGTGTCACAATTGTCCACTCGGACCTAATATATACTAATACCGAAAATAGCAACTAATGATTCATTATTGACAATTTTTGTCAAATCTGGAGAAGCACTGGACACACCCACGACTGGACACTTGCCACAGTTGTGCCCATCTTCAAAAAAGGAGACAGAAGACGACCAGAGAACTATCGTCCAATTAGCTTAACTGCAGTGACGTGCAAGGTCATGGAGTCGCTGATAAGGGACCAATTGATGGCATACCTCACCTCGAATGGACTGTTGTCGCGTCACCAGCATGGTTTTCGCCCACACCGATCCTGCACGACTCAGCTACTGGAAGTCTTGGATGACTGGAGCCGTGCGATTGAAGACGGGAGCCCGGTCGACGTCATATATCTGGACTTCAGAAAAGCTTTCGATTCCGTCCCTCACGAACGCCTACTGGTCAAACTGAGAGCTTACGGTGTGACTGGACACCTCCTTGAGTGGATAAGGTCATTTCTATCCAATCGGCAACAACGAGTCGTCGTGCAAGGTTGTCAATCCACCTGGTCTCCTGTCACCAGCGGGGTGCCACAAGGTTCTGTACTAGGGCCCCTTCTGTTCCTTGTATATATTAACGACATCCCCGACGCGGTGAGGTCCTGCATCAAGATTTTTGCTGATGACACGAAGTTGTACCGCAGCATTGATACTCCTAGTGACGCATCCCTGCTCCAGCTCGACATTGATGCTCTCACCACCTGGTCCAAGAAGTGGCAGCTTGCGTTCAACCAGAGCAAGTGTGCGTCCTTGAACGTCGGGGCCAAGAACTCTGGTCACTCCTACTCTATGAACGGTGTCTGCCTCGCCTCCACCTCAGCTGAGAGAGATCTGGGTGTCATCATCGATCCCGAGCTGAAGTTCAGGAGGCAGGCTTCCTCAGCTGTATCAAAGGCTTCACAGATTCTGTCTCTGATCCGGAGGTCATTCTCGAATCTGGACGAGATCACCCTGCCGATTTTGTTCAAAGCATTTGTCAGGCCCCACCTTGAATACGGTAACCTCATATGGGGCCCGTTCAATCGTGCAGACATCAAGCTTGTGGAGCGAGTCCAGCGGCGCGCTACTCGATTAGTGTCCGGCATCAGGAGCAAACCATATACTGAGAGACTGAAATGCCTGAAGCTTCCTTCACTGCTCCACCGAAGACGCCGTGGTGACATGATTGGAATGTACCAGCTGCTGCATAACGAGATCGATATCGACCCGGACAAGTTTGTCAAGCCTGCGTCCACGAGGTCCAACCGTGGCCATCCCTGGAAGCTGTACAAACCACATGCCAAGTCACGAGCCAGAAGACAACTATTCACTATTCGAGCGCTCAACGACTGGAACTCCCTCCCTGCAACAGTTGTCCAGGCCCCATCCCTCAATGCCTTCAAATCCAGACTTGACAAGCATTGGGCCAATCTGATGTACCTGACTCCTACTCACGACTAGAGATGACCACCAGTCACGAGCTCGACGAGAGCGGGACCTACAGGCGAATTGCCTTTCAAAATTCCCGATAGTGTAAGGTAAGGTAAGGTAAGGTAAGCAACTTACTAAGTCTCTGCTTTCACTAGCTATGGTTGACTGATGACATAATAGATAGTGTGATGTAGTTAGTGCCAAACTACGACTGTAACCTGTCAACACGTATGAAATAAACATTATTTCTCCCAGACTGAGACAGTCCCAGATTAAGATGACCATGTCATTCATGATATTATAAAAATGTGAAAATTATTGGCAGGCTAAAGGCAACACCAATAGGGTTCAACTGTTAAATTTGGTTAATTATATTGATAATTAACTTACCAAGCTTTGTACCAGATGTTACTTTCTCCATGAAGCATTCCTCAGCATGCGCGTCAACAGTAATCATATAACCATCAGACGGGTATACCAAGGCAAGGGTAGTTAAAATGGCAATGATGCTCAGCATCTTGAATGAAAGATAATGGAGACCCAGATATTATATTACGCTCCCACCCAGCAGCCGGCCGTGATAAACAAATATCAACACAGCTCTCGGTATGGGTAAACAGGGTGTATGGCGCACTAAGGACATGTATGGCGCGTTTCCCTTCAATCGGTAAGGGAAAACGTGAAGGATTTGCGTACGTAAGTTGCTGGCATCAGCAGTCGGAAATTCGTAACTCGTAAGCCCTCGGAAGTTGGGTTGCTTCTTAAGTTGAGCAACATCATATATTCTTGTTTTTCGAGCAGTCTAAGCTCGTGTTTGCAATAGAGTTCGGAAAGTAAGAGCATCTATGCATGCGTGATGCGCATCTGTCATAGGGTGTTCAGTTTAAAGTTAGTTTTAAAAATCCTACGTGTGATAAAAATTAAGCCAAAAGTAGCAACTTAATCTAAGCAGCATGTCGCTTATCGATCACAGCATAATTATTAAATCGGTGCAAGTGGTCAAGACCAAATCGTCAAGACGGCACAGATAAGGTTTCCCTTCACTCGTCAACGAAGGATTTGGCAGCAAAAAATACGCGTCATTTTAGGTTCAGCAGACTAAAAATCGATACAAATAAAATCGAGAGATTCACAAGGCATTTGTCTTCGATTTGTCTTTTTATTATCATTAAATGAATTTTAACAGTCTTCGGTCTCAAAAGAGGAAAAATAAGATATGTTTCAAACAAAAATAAAATAAAAATGTTGAAATGATGGATGCTTTCACGATTTAAACATGGCGGCCTCCATAAACTTCTTTGTCAACTGCGGCGCCTGCGTGACTAAAACAAAAAAACAAATATTGTGTTGCGTTTTGCGAGTTGGTGCGAGAGGCGGTGTTTGAGAGAATTGCCACTTGTCTATGTTATTGCAGAACAAGCTTAGCTCGGTGATAAGTGCTGTTTAGTCCAAAAATCGTTGTTTACATTAGGTAAGCATTGGACGTAGCCTATAGAGTCAGATTAGGTATATGTAGGAGCCTCTACTCTACGATGACAAAAGTTTCAAGTTTTTCATCAGTTTGAATTCCTCAAGATCAAAGCTGGATGAAAAAAATGAAATGTAGTCGTGGCACTTTGACTTGTCATTATTATTGAGTTTTTTTTTTGCATTATTATTCTTGGGGAAGGATAAAAAACAATCAGACATTATCTACCTAACCCTACCCACCACTCCTTCATCCACCAGACTAAGTTAGACAGGAAAAAACAAAACATTAGTAAATGTTTTCTATTTCTCATGCATAGATAACATAATACAAAACTGCATGCCTACCTGAAACCTTACAAGTTACACCCACCCCTGGGGTCTCACCTCAGTCTGGCCAAAGATCACTGGTTTCAGGTTTGTCTTTGTTTCAGGGCCTCACCATGCCCGAGTACCACTACGACCAGCTGGGAACGGTGGCCGAGCTGTACCCGCTGCACAAGGCAGTGCTGACGTTCCAGCTGAACGGACGCGGCCCCGAGCAGCGCGCCCTCCTCTGGGGACGCCGGTTCGTCTGCCCCAACGGCCTGCCGCTGGCCGAAGACGAGTCCATTGATGACGTGCTCTGCATCAACGACCAGGTACTCTTTGACTGTCATATATACGACAACGAAAACAACCAGGACCGGTGTGGCTGGTACGTGGCGCGCGCCGAGTCGGCGCGCCGGCCCGAGCAGCTGAGCTCGGTGGTCTCCAACGCCATGGGCACGGTGGTGGAGGTGGGCCCGCGGCGGGCGTTCGTCGAGTTCCGCCAGCCGGGCCGCGTCGAGCTGCAGCGCGCCGTGTTCGTGGCGGCGCGCTTCTTTGACCACGGCGGCCGGCTGCCGGCCGGCACCAGCCTGCGCAGCTGCGTGTACGAGGACCAGAAGCTGCACCTGGACGCGCAGCACCGGCCCGGCCAGCTGCAGGGCGCCTCCTGGTACGCGTGGCTGGCGTGGCGCGGCCAGCGGCCCGAGGTGGAGCTGGACCGCGAGCCGCCGGCCGAGGTGCTGGCCGGGGAGGAGGAGCCGCCCACCCAGCGGCCCACCGCCACGCTGGCCGACAACCTGCTGCCGGCGCTCAGCTCGGCAGAGAGCCGCGCACAGGCGCAGCGCCGACACCAGGTCGGTCCGCCGCGCCGGCCTCCTCCCCCCCCCCCCCCACCCCACCCCTAGTCAGTGGGTGTCTCTCGCTATCAGTCTCTCTCCAGGACAAGTAGGGGTACGATACGTGTGTCTCTCACCCTCCTCCCCAGGACAAGCTGTGGGGGTACGTGTGTATCTCAGCTTTCTCCTACCCCCTCCTCCCCTGGACAACTGGAAGTTAACGTGTTTGTCTCACCCTCCCCCCCCCCCCCGGTTCCCCCAGGACAAGTGGGGGTACGTGTCGTCGCTGCTGGATGCCGAGTATGGTGTGCTGCTCTGGCAGGTGGCGCCGCGACAGTACCAGAGCGTGCTCTTCCACCGCAGCGCCGCACACCTCTTCGACCTCAACCTGAAAAACTACGACCTCAGAACCGTCTTCAAAAAGGGTACGTCCCTAACTCCTCAGGGAATCGCTTTTTTTTTCCGGAGAACCACTCTTCTGTATAAGGGAGCATGTACATCCAGTCATGTCTCAGCATTAAATTTAGCGCTCGTGGCGTTTGATAAACTAAACAAGTTGCATATGCCATATTTGAGTGAATCGGCTCTTCTGTATCAAACCGTTACCGACGGAGTACTGTTACATTTGTGTAGTTTGTTCTCAACTTGTCCCTGTGTGGTGTCTATGTGACTGTGATACATGTCTTTTCTTTCAGGAGACCATCTCCGCTTTGAGGCCGAGAAGGCGGAGCCTTCGGAGCCTTACAAGTGGAAAGCGTACAGTGTTTGGCTGGAGGAGGCGTAAGTGCGACCGCGGGGACATCTGTCGGCGAGCGGGTAAAGTGGTGGTTCCGTACCGGGGCTGTGGCGGCGCTGAGGTAGCGTGTTTCCCGTCAGTTGGCTCCGAAGTGCCGTTCGTGCTGTAAGGATATTGATCTGGCTGTGCTGTGCTGTGGTGAGGGCGACGTACTTCAGTCAGCGTCGCCTTTATCACATATTCTAGAGACCACGTATGTAGTTCAGGCTGATCCCGACAGGTGACCCCATACAAAGTTCGCGGGAAACTGCCTATGTACTATGTAGTTAGTTCAGTCCGTTTTTCGTTTCGTGCACCGCCTGGATGCTGTGCTCCGTTGGGTCGTTTCATTAATGTGAGCTGGAGCGGAGCTGCTCCTCTAAACGTACAGCGGCACAAGATTTAAGTTATCCGCTACTTAGCTTTCCAAGAAGGGCATTGCAGATGTTTTCTTTCCCAGTTCGTACCCCAGATATGGTTAGATGTATGAGCCGGATGGTGACAGCTGGTAGGGTCCACTTCATTGCATATCCCTCTCTCAGTCTCACTATGCTTCCTTTGCCTTATCGATCATATCATTGAAATGATTTTTGTCGGCGGTGTGAAATATAGCCAAGCTGCAACATTGTTATTGCTTAGTTTTGTTTCCTGAAAATGTTATACGTTTTGTTGAACACAGACACCTAAAAGGGAAAGGCTGTATGCAGATTTTACAGTTCAGTTGTCTTAGATTGAACGGTCCTGAACTGGTTGGTGTCCATGGCTGAACGACCCTGGACCCTGAAAATGTGGCTGGTATCGCAGGATCCGGCTCCGGCCACGCCAGCTCGTTCAGAGAAATCGCGAAAAAGAGAACGTCAGGGGCGGATTTCCCTCAGCCGGGGAGGACCTGGGTCGTTTTTTTATCAGATCAGCGTTTTGACATTACAGAGAACAAAGTGAACGTTCTAACTTTAGATAGACGGACGCGCTTACTAAGGATAAGTGTTGTATGTAGTCCAGCTGAACCGAATCCCGAGTCCTGAGTAGCGTCAATGTCAATGTCTTTATCTCCGATGTATTCGCGGACGCGGTGAAAACGAAACCTCTGCCCGCCTTGTCTCCATCCCGCCCCTGGGTTTAATCCTAATCCCCACGAGCGCAGGCGCCGCCCGTGGCTCGTCGACTGCTGAGCAAACCATGAGCAATGAGCATGCCTACAATCTACATACATACGTCCGCGGCCGGCCGCCGGTCCCGCTCGCCTCATCACTCGCCGACACCGGAGCCGGCTGACATCCGGCGCGATGGGCGCCGGAGCTGCGCCCGATCCGCGACGACCGGCGCGGCGCGTGGCACATATCCGGCGCACCGGCGGCCAGCGGCGGCACGGTGTCTCCAGTTACCGGCGCCGGCACGCGGCGCCTGTGCGCGGCTCGTTTGCGGCGCATTATCTGCCGGCGGCAGTCGCGGCGCGGGCGGCCTGCGTGGCGCACTCCCTCGGGTAAACCGAGCCGCGCCGCCGGTGGCGCGACCAGTTTGACTCCGAGCACCGATGAAAGCGACACGAATTGTCAGCGCGCGCACAATGGGCGTCATCGCGGCGCGGGATGCGGCGGCGGCGGCCGACCACAAAGGACTGATTAGTGCGGCCCCGCGCCGGGCTGTAGACTACTGGGGACACGGCGGTGCGTCGCTAAAAACGCAGACCGCACAGGCCGAATGGCTAATTTCAGAGATCTCCCGAGAGAGAGAGAGAGGCGTCCCCGCCGCCCCAGCACCGCCGCCGGCTGTGAGTTTATTCCCCGCGGCGCAGTAAATCTTGATCAAGTTACGATATGATTGCGACGCACCGATGGGCCGTGTTCAGCCATCTCTATAGGTCCGCGAACAGCGCCAAAGAAATGGCCCGGACCATCCATTGACCATACATTGAACCAATTAGTGCTACAACGACAAAGAAAGTGTCTGTTCGTTTTAATTCGTGCCAGACACTAGTTAGTAGTTACTACTGAATATCATAGCATCAGTCATCGTAATTCACGCTATGAGGAAGTTGAAACGCATCCACCCAAAGTGACATTGAAGAGGGTTGTTGCACGTGCAATTATCTGCAACCGCTCACAGCATAGGTTGGGGCCCCGCACGATTCGGCTATACGAGTGTAAATAGCGTCATCATGTAGACATTGTGCTCTCGATGGGCGGTGCCCTGCAGCTATTCATAGAGCTGGTGCAGAGCTGATGTCGAGCCGAGCTGGAAGGCGTTTCGATATTGCTCGTTATCCTGACACTGTCTCAACCGGAGCAACCACCGCCGGCTAATTGATACCGGTGGGGCAGCAGTCTCCGGTGAGGACAGCACGGAGCTCCACCGTCCGAACACTGTCTCTGTTGAGGGGAGGGGGAGGGACAGCAGGAAGCTCTCCACCGTCTGCGCACCGTCTCTAGTGGCGTCACGGGGTACCCGGCCGTGCCTACACCCGTCACACCGGCCGTGCTCGCCCGTCAGGCGTCGGATCGACTGTGCCCGGGAGCGGTCCGTCGGCGAATGTCAGACGGGCCGGCCGGCCGGCGGGGCCCGGCCCTCGGCCGCCCGCCGCACCGACCCCCGCCGAGAGCACATGCATAAATGTGAGCGGCCCGCGCGCCGCCATCGTATTTACAACTTGTTGACGATAATGAATTATATTGGTGCGGCGGCCGGCTGGCGGCGGTGTCCGGAAGGGCCGCGGCCCGGCAGGGTCGGACCGTCGGACCGCGCTGGCCGCCGGGACGGGCCGGCGCCGGCTGCAGAGGGGCCGGGCCGCCGACATAACTCAGCCGATGATAAACTCCGGCGGCGAGTGCCGTATAAACTCCGACATCATAAACACGCGCCGGCGAAAAACGCCCGCCCGTCCCCCGGCCGGCCAAGGCTGACCGGCCGGCCGGGCGGCGGACGATTCCGTAACTCACGGCCACTGACGCGGGCATCCTCTGCCGATCCGCTAATGAGGTATGCGGCAGGCGCCGCCAGGAATGTCCTCTCCGCGCCGCAACGGCCGCCGCAATAAGTCCTCCCCACATACCTGTTCCAAGTGGGCCGTGTAGCTGGCTGCATGAAAAACTCCGCTCCTCCCTCTCAATCGAGCCGATAAGTCGCACGTACCGCGTGCGCTAATCCGCGATCGCGCTTCGAATTTTTTTACGACCGTGAAGCGTAATGGACCGACCACAAGAATGCATTGCCATCTCATTCATTTTCTGCACGTCTGCGGAAAAATTCGGGAACACCCAGCCGGGACTGGTTGGCAAAAAGTGCCGGCCAGACGAGCTGGAGCCGGTGACTCGCCGCCAGGACCGCTCGCGCCCGTAACCATTAATAAGCGCGGGAGGAGTATAATTAGCGCGCGCGCGCGCCGGACGGCGGCGATGCGCGGTATGCGCGGCGCTCGGCCGGCCGGGGGTGGCATCGGCACCGGCCAGGGCCGCAATTATCGCCTTGTAATCGCCGGTCTCGGCGTCCGGTAGCTTTCGGGCTTTGTTTACCGTCGAGTGGGCGGCGGCGGTGGTCACAGGTGTCCGGTCGGCGCCCCGAGCGGCGCGGCGGCCCCACCGGCGGCGACAGACGGCCCGTGCCGAATTGGTGGTTACCCCACACCGCATTCCCGCCCTGCCGCGGAGCGACTGCCGAGTAGTTCTCTCCCGGGACCGGCCGGCGCGCGGGCCGCGCGGGCTGTTTTCGAGGCCCGGAGCACAGATAGCAGTGATTAGCCGGCGCAGCTCCGTGCCGTGCCATCTGCGCTGCGCCGGCCGTGTTTTGGCCGTGACGGAGTGTGTACAGCGCCCGCCGGGACGGCTGCGGCGGGCGCCGGCCGCCCCGCCCCGGAACCTCCGGTACAAACTACCCGCTCGAGCTGCGGATGAGCGCGGCGCACAGATAACGGATGGTTCCATCAGCGGCCGGCGCCGCGCTGCAGCGCGCCGCGCCGTGATTCATGACCGCTCTCGACACCGAGGGCGGCCGCCATCTGCCGTGGCCGCGCGGCCGACGGCGCCCCGCCGCGCTCACGCAGCGCGCCGCGCACGCTCTATTTCTGCGGTCGCCGAGCCGCCGCGTCCCCGGCTGCCAATTAGTCGCTGACAAATCGCGCCGGCGTTTTTGCACCGCCCGCGGCTCGGCGCCGTGACCCGCGGTGACCTCTGCGGGTCGGTGGGGGCGCCGGCGGCAGGGTCCGAGGGTGCCGGCCCGCTCGGCGACTCAGAAGGTACCCCGTCGGCGACCCGCGGCCGGCGCGACACCCGCCTCTGAGCGATGGCCGTCACCGCTCGCTCTGCTCCCTCTCCGGCTGCCGACACGCCCAATGAGCCGCCAAGGCGGTCACGTCGGCGCCAGCGCCGCGCGCACCGCTCTCACGTGCAGCGGCCATGGGAGCTGCGCTTTATGGAGCGGCCGTAATAGCGCTTCATAAACCACGTTCGGTTCGGGAGCCGGGTTCGTGCGGCGCGCTCGTATTCCACCGGCAAACAAGTGGCTTCCGTCGGCGACGTGCGGCGGCGCCGTCAGAGCGGCCGCGGTTGGCGGCGGCTCGACAGCGGACTGTAACGAGGCGGCGGGTGTCGGCGGCGGCCGGCGGTGGTAATCGATCTGTGCAGTTGTCGGCGCCGGCCCGTTTGAAAGCGAGCCGGGGTCGGAGGTGAGCGGTCCGCCGCCGCCGGAGCCGGTCTCGCGGTGAGAGCGACTCCCGGCTGTCACAGCATAGTTATACCTGCTTCTGTATACCCGGGGACACGGACCGACAGCCCTCCTTACTCCCAGGGACACAGCCGTCTGCACACCCGGGGACACAGACCGACAGTCCTCTGCACACCCGGGGACACAGCCCCTTGGCTCTCTGTATACCCGGAGACACGGACCGACACTCGACAGTCTCGTCTGTGCACCCGGGGACAGCGGGCGGGCAGCGGGTGCCCACCGCCCGCTCCGCGCCACAGGAAACAATATAACCGGGCCAATTTCTTACACGGCGTATTTTCGCGCGGCGACTTGGATGCGTAGGTGAGAAATGACCGAGCCGACTCGGGATGTACGGCTAATCAAGCCGAGCGCGGCGCGGCCGGTCGGAACAAAGGGGCATTTTTTCATTTATCATTGCCCTTTATTTCCACCTCTCAACCCGTTGCGGCTCGGTCCCTGTGAAGTGGTCAGCTGACAAATAGCGGCGTTCACGGCGCGGCCGGCCGGTGGCGGCTATCCCGGCGCGGCGCAGACAGATGGCCGCCGCTGCCGGCAACAGCCCGGCGGGGAACGGCGAGGCAGCTCCGGGAGCCTCCACTGGGACGGGGAGCCACCACCGGGACCAGCCATCGGGACGGGGACTCGCTGACGTCACTGGGAAACACCGGGACCGGGACTCGCTGACGTCACTGGGAAACACCGGGACCGGGACTCGCTGACGTCACTGGGACACACCGGGACCGGGACTCGCTAACGTCACTGGGACACACCGGGACCGGGGTCTACCATCGGGACCTGAGCCAGCTCCCGGGGCAGCTGAACCAGAGGAACGAGTACCGCACTGGCGTGGGAGCCAGCTACTGGGCCTCTCACCGGGGCAGAGGAGCGGGTACCTCACCCACGGGAGCTGACGACAGGATACCGGGACCCACTGC